TGTCCTGTTATTCTTAAATTTCAAGACTGGTTCCAAATCAGAATTTAAAGGGAACTTAACCAGAGTGATATATTGCGATCTTGAGAACTAAAAATTTCACTGCATATAGCACTGAGGTTTGATTCATTAAAAATTCATACAGTGTTGTACAGTGGTTTGTTGACTATTAAGCTGTCACTGGATGACACAATATGCTCACTCTTCCACTAGAGGGCGGCTTAATAAATTATATATTAAACTCAAACAAGGCTTTCCACAATAAAAAGACAAATCAAACTTTAAGAAAACATGAATTTTTTAGGGCCAATCAATGTACATCATAAAAACATATAGATCCCTAATGAGAGCATTATATGGTTGGGAAGAATTATGAACACACAAGAAAATCCAAATTTTATTTTTAAATGATTGATTCACCCATCTATCCACTCACTTAGGTATACATACCCTCACCTATTTAGCCGAAGGATTTCAGAATGAGAAAGCTATCTCAGAAATCATACATATGATCTTTGTTTTATAGGTGGACGTGCTGGGGCTCAAAGTGAAATTATTTGTCTGAGTTCACTTCGTTAATTGATTCTGGAATCAGAACCAGACCTCCAATTCACGATTCCGTGCTCTACATTCACTACACTAAATTTTAAGATACTTTGAAAGTTTGAAAAGAAAGAACCTTCTGTTTCTGAGATTTCAGAAAACATCACCTGCATTGTTGGGACAAAATAGCATGTGTCCCATATTCCATTTGTTTTCTATTTCCAACTTGTGTGTTTTGGACTCCTTGGGCTTGTCTTTCTCTTTGTGATAACCAATAGAATTACAGTTTTTGTCCTTGAAAATCCACAAGGCTTCGTAAGTGCTGGTAAAAGAAACCTCTGCAAATAATACAGGGAAAATGTGGCATTTTCCCCTGCAGCTTGGGAGAAAAAGCAAATGGCATTTTGTATAATGAAAATGTTAGTCAAACACCTGGACTTTAGATGGTGATGTTATATCCCATGAAAGTAAACCTCATCCTGTGAAAGGTCTAATTTTGACTGGTTGACTTAAAATTGTTTTGTTGTAGAGATAAAATTTAAATTCCTTTCTGCTTTCCAGAAGCTACAAGTGTGCATACCTTTTCATTTTAATCCAGAAGGGAATCACTAACACTTCCTTTTTCTCACTCTTGCATGAGGTATTATGATTTGAATAGAATTCTTATTTAACCAAAGAGCTTGAGAGTCTTACCTCATATTAATGAACAGCGTCCAGAGGCATCACCTGCTGCCCACATGCTCTTCAAGGTAAAAGTCCGGGAAAAATGCTGTTTCCCTTACTTTTAAGTGGTATTCTCATCTCCACACACAAATCTCTAGCCTTAAGCTATTTTAAATTTTAGGTTTGCTGTGGTTATTCCTAAATGATGGATTGAAGTTTGGTAATTGCATCTGTCTTCATGATGCATAGGCATTGCTCTGCAGTTGACTCCGTTAGGACCACTGGACTGGGTCTTACACGAGCCCAAGATGAGTGGATTAGTCGTGCTCTGGTTAGCGTCATCCTAAATCTATTGGGCATGGCCTTTGCTCCCTCCTCCTGGGACCCTCAAGGAAATTATTGCTCCTCTGGCCACAGCTGACGATCAGTAGATCCTTGATGGATAGATTTATGTGTGAATGTTTGAGAGAAATGTCAGTTCTGTTTCTCCAGGACCACAGGTACTGGAAAAATAAAGTACACTGAATTCCAAATGGAATCTCTTATAACAGTATGTATGACAACCACAGAATTCAGAAATGAAAACCTACTGCTCTCTCTCTTTATCATTATCAGTGAGTGAAGGATGAAGGTGTGAGAGTAGTTGAGTAAGCTGGCTCTTTTCTATGCCACTCTCACCCCTGTGCCTGCTCTTATCACAGTCCTTGTCATGATGTATTATAATCAAGGATTTATTTTCCTGTGTCCTCTGCAATGCTGTGTGTACCTCAAGAGTAAGGACTATCTCTTGTTTTTCATATAACCTTATGACTTAGCACAATGCCTGGCACATAAGGGTAACGCAATAAACGTTTTTTAAATGAATGAATGAAAAAAAGCCTCCGAAAAGAAAAGAAAGATATATGACTCTGGAAAGGTTAAATATTTGCAAAACTCAAACTTTGAAAATAGACTGTATATGGGACAAAGCATTTACCAAAAATCTTGGCCCAGTCTATATAGACATTCAGACATTCTCTCGTATTGGAGAGAAATCTAATAGAAAGACTCCACTCTCCTGAGTATAAGACTTAAATCATTTAGAGCAGAACTCTTAGAGAATCATGTGTAAAATAAAGAAGCCCATCTGGTATTATAAGTATGCATTTGGGGAAAAAATAACAAAACATAACAGAAAACACACCTATCATTTTTATTACACAATCTGCAGAAAGTAAAGATTTACAAAATCTTTTTGGCCACAGGGTATATGAAAAAAGATTGATTTTCCCAAGTGTAGGAGTAAAGACCCCAGGAGGAACACGAGATTTTTATGTTTATCTAACATGAGCTTAGGTTTTAAAAGGCTGAGAAACAATAACTTGGCATAAATTATACTTCTGTTCCTGAGACCCCCTGCTTGTTCTGAAGAGCTGCGGAGTCAACACAACCTGAGGGCTCTGTTAAGCAGGGTAATTGCTATTATTCACTCTGATCTAAGGAGCCTGGGGAAACAGACACACAACTCCACCAGGTATCTGAATTTTCCTCAACTTCTGCAGGAACGTTTATGACCCACCTCCTCCAGCCCTAGGCATAGTGCAGAGTTCAGTGCCTCTTCTGTAATTGGATCTTTACACAATTTGCCCCTTTCCTCCAATCTTCCTGGAGCACAAACCCTAGTAAACCTTCTTCAAGTCACCTTTCTCCTCTTAGCCTGCCATTTAGCAACTAGATTTGAAGCCCGTCAGTATTTTGTTTTACCTACAACTCTAACTGGTATAGCCCTTTCAAATATATAAAGTGAGTACATATATAATCCTTTGAATGAATAGAAGATCACCAGTTAACTTGAGAGCTGTAAGTAAGGTGTAGAAATTACCCATCTCGCATGGAGGGGGTCAATCCCCACTGCCCAGCGGACAGGAACCTGAATCCCATCAAGTGTCCCGACCTAAGTACTAGTTTACAGGAAATACACAGGAGAGAGGAATGTACTAAATGATACCAAGGGGATCCCATCAGTTGAATGTGAGAAATTTTACAGGACAAGTGACCTGGTTTATTTAACAACTGGTGTGGAAGAAGGGGGAGGGGAACTGTTATAGATGAAAAGAGACTTAGGGACATGATAATCATATGCAATTTGTGGATCTTGCTTGGATCCCAATTTAAACCAACCGACTGCCGAAAAGAGCTTTTTCAGACAATCTGGGAGATTTAAAAACAAATTGAATGTAAGATGATATTAAGGAATTATGGTTAATTCTTTTGGTTAACCTTAAATTCATTTAAAACTTATTGTTAAAATAGATATTATGATTATGTTCAACAAATTTATTGTTTAGAGATTCATACTGATGTGTAAATGGGAGAGATGGTATCACACATAGGATCTGGTTTAAAATAGTTCAGCAAAAACAAACAAACAAAACAAAAACAGGGAGTGTGTGTTTGTGGACACACTTAGTACAAAATTGGCAAAATCTGAAAATCATTTAACTCGTTGACAAGTTCTTGGGAGTTCTATCTAACCAATTTCTCTGCTGCTGTGAATATTTGAAAATTTCTACAACAAAAAGTAAAAAGAAAAAACAGTGCTGAGTTCTGTTGAGGGATGGAATAAATGAGTAAAACTTCCCATTCAACTTCGTACCTGGCAGTCACTGGAAAAGTGAGTGAGAGCTATTTTCAGGTCAGATGGGACTAAAGGGGAAAACAGGGTTGAGAATGACTGTTTTCCCCCAATGGGAGAGACTTAGGCTTTAAAAAATCTAAAGCAATGAGAGCTTGAATGTGCAAAGGAAAGAAAATGTAACCAATAGGATAGGATTCCCAAGAAGGCTAGAGAGAGTGAGATCCAAAGCACAGAGGCAAGCATTGGCCTTGGGTGGGAGATGGGGTAGCTTCCTTATTAGAAAGAAAAAGGATAAAACGGATGCAGATGTAAGTAACTGACATGTTTGGATTAAAAAGAGGAGAGATTTGCTCTCTGATGACCTCTGTTTTCTGTATAAAGTAGGTGGAGAGTTTGGGGTAAGAGGTGTTAAAAAGCGAAAAACAGACACAAAAACAAAAAACAAAAAACCAGGTAGAATTTCAGGACAGTGTTGATGATCAGCTTATAGTTATACATGTCTTCTCTGAGACATGACTGTCCCAGTAGCCCTCAACTATTTGAGTGCTGGCCTAGAGGAAGAGGAACACTGAGTGTACTCCAGTTGAGGTTTTGCCCAACAGGATGCAAAAAAAAAGGGAGTTTAGGGTGTTAATAAGCATTATTACTAAACTAAATTATCATGCAACGTAAGCTGGGTGTGAAAGGAAATGGGTTGGTGGGTTTCAAGAAAGTAGAAAGGTAATGGAACAGAAGTTGCAAGGACTGAGAAGTTCACTCCGTCGGCCTGAAGGGAAAGCAGTTGTGGTCCAAGAGGGGGATGCTCCCATGTGCAAGTTTAGAGGAGGGCATTTGTGGGTAATGTGATGACGAGGTACGAGTGTGAACTGATGGCAATGGGCAGTGGAGAAAGTGATGGCTAATGGGATTGGAAGTCACTTTCCAGCATTAAGGGCAGTTCGCTCAAGAAGCAGAAGAATGTCCTAACAGCCTTTGACCCCAATACTCTGCTATAGTTAACGCTGGGCACTCAGAGAGCAAGGGAATCAATTTTTTAAGAGCTTTCCTAGGCAGCAATACACACAGAAAATAATGTTGTCACCTTGAACTTTCAGATCTGCCTGGATAGCTCATGCACTATTTTTCATATGACATTCTTATAATGCAAAAAAGGGGACAGATATTAAGAACAATGGGACAGAAAGCCTATAGTTTATTAAAATAGGGTTCCCAGAAGTTAAGTGACTCCAATTTGTCTTTTCAAGCTTAGAAAGAGCCAGCCCAGAGACGCCTCGAACAAGGAAGCAAGCCAGGACACACAGAGCCTAGTGCAGCATCCTGATTCATAACTCTTCCTCCCAGTTGGCAGCCCCCTCCTGAAAGGAAGAAAGGCTGAGCAGAGAGCAGTGCAGGCCCGGGGCAGCTGCTCTAACAGGTTTCCATCCCCCAGAGCCATGGGCCAACTCCACTGCCAGGTTGCTCAGGAGTGCTGGGGCTGCGATGCAGTTACTCAGTAGGGTTCAGAGCCTCCTACAGGGCTGTTCATGGCCTCCCTGTTCCTGGGCTGGTGTGGGCCTCAGGCTGATATGGCACCAGGGAGGTAGGATGCTCAGCCAGACCATGCCAAACACACCCTTATCTCCTCTCCTCCTTCCACTAAGCCTTGCTCTCCAATCAGCCTTCTATCTCCTCCTTGCTCAGCAGGAATGTCACCCCACTTTGTTCTCTGCTTTCTGCCACAACTCAAGTTCATGTACACCCGTGGGTCTCTTCTTAAGGTTCAGTTGGCAACAAGGCACAAGGAGAATCAAGAAACCCTCTGCAGAGTATCTGTCATCATTTCTTTTCAACAATATTCATAGCACAGTGCTATGGGCCAAACACTGAGCCCAGTGATAGAGAACAGAACAAATAAAAACACTCATCTTTTATTTTCATTGGATGAGGACAACTGAATTAGACAAAATTGAAGCAAAATAAAAAACACAAATGACACATTTAAATATTACAATATTGTTATTATAAACACAAAGGGTTAGTCAAGGGCTTTAGAAATGAAATGCTGCTTTTAGGTTAAATAAAAATTTACAATGGGACCTTCAAGGCCCAGGGAGATGAGTAATTCTGTGGTGGGGGCTTCTAGAAGGAGGGGCTGATGATCCTCAGGGCCCATTACTACCTGAGACATACATCATTGATAAGCTCCAAAATCTCTTACCTCACACACTCCCTGAAGACCAAGGAACACCTTGCAAACACTAATGCGCTCTCATTAGTTTTTATTATTAATCGATAGATGTATCAACCCACAGGGTTATCATCTACTATACATCATGAACTATAGACATAATGTGTCTTAGTGAGATTTAACAACATAGTAAATATTCTTCAAATCATTTTAGAACAAGGATTATTCCACCTGGAAATACTCTAAATGTACTTCAAACACTCAACCAGACAGAGGCTCATTTTCTGATGAGGTTACACCACCTACTTGTAACAACTCCTCTTATTCAGGGAAATACTAACTCAGCTCTATTTTGTCACTGATAACCCAGAATCCCAGGGCTCAGTCTGGTTTTAAGGGACATATAAAAGCTTGTCAATAAGAAAAACATTCTATATAGAAAAAAGGCAACTATACATTTCTATCTCATTTACAAGGGCCAAGCTTGGTCTGGATACCAGCTTAATTTTTCCATTGCTCCCATTAAGTAAATCCATTGAGATTATATCTGGAATTAGCATGGTTTCAGGATCTGGGCAATATTAAGTCCTACAAAGTTCTAGCTACAGAAGGCAGATCTGAAAAATTTAAAGGGGAAAAAAGAGGATAATAATATGATTCCAGGGTAGGTGGGGTAGAAGACATAGGTAGGTCTTCTAATTAATGAGTAGTTACTATTTTATAAACACTTTCACAAATATAGTATTGGTTTCTTGAATAATTTTTATCTCCTTTAATTGAAAACTTTCAACGGCACAAATTTTTATACTATTTTCAAATTTCAAATTATATATGGGTTTTAAATGTCATTTGCAAAGTTTAAACTATGTTTGAAAGTGCAAAGGAAAAAGTAAGACTTACTCATATCCATATTTTCCAGATATATCTATCACCATTTCTGCTCCCAGCTTATTCTGAGAATGTTCAAATGAAAGTTCCTTCCAAATGAACTCAATACTTGCAATGTTTCCAATGTTAATGTCTGCATCAATTAAATTTGTATAAGTCATGCCTGGCTTCAGTGTTCCACTGTAAAGAGAAAAAAAAAAAAACTCATAAGCTTGCACCGGGTATTCACAATGCTGAAGTTGAAGACAACATCTCTGTGTACCATGGAAGAGAAAGTTTCATTTTCTGGCATTTGCTTATAGGAGATTTATTCTTTCCATTCACTTTGGTCAGCCTCTCAGAATAGCATGATTCTGAAGCTTGAAAAAAGGGTTAGGTAAATGGGAAGCTTGACTAGGTGATTTTTAGGGGATGAGTACTCCATAATAAAAGATCTGGTCTTGGCTCTGTGGCATTATTGACACCAGGAAATGATCAAACTACCAACGATAGACTAAATTCACACAAAACATATAAGAACTAGAAGCCTGTTTATCAGCTCACAATGGTGAAATGCTTCCTTTTTATTAACCAAAATGTTCTCCTACCCTTTCCCTGGTACCTTCTTCATCTGTATGAAAAGAATTGGGTAACCAAACTAATGATAAAAATGATGTTTTGGTGAGTGTGGAAATAGAGCAGAGAGAAGTAGATTATCTTGAGACATAAGGCATATTTTATGCACGCCAAAATTAGACCAGATGAGATTTCTTTATTGCTGCTATTTCCTTATTCCTTTGTTAATGTATTGTCTGTCTCCTCTAACTGGAAGGTAAGCTCCATGAGAGTAGGACCTGTGTCTGTTTCTCCGGCAGTTAGAACAATTCCCAGTATATAATAGGCATTTGAACGTTTGTTGAATGACTGAACGAATGAATGTTGCTATCCTTAGGGCCTTATTCCATTACATGTAAAATTAATTGATTTAATTACCAGATGACAACTTTTCTTCCAGATTATTGGGGTAATTTCCCTGTTGCCCCATGAACTGCCTTCACACAGTGCACACACAGTGCAGCTCTTCATGACAGTGTCATTGGAAGCCCAAATAACTAAACTATAATCTACAGTGACACCAGACTCTTAAAGGTTGACCGAAGAGTGGGAATAGACTAGCATACAAATTCATTTAGTGGCTTCATTTCAAGATAAGACATCTACTGTGGACCTGAAATGCTTAATTATTCTTAAAAAAGAGGACTGGATAACTATGCAAGGACATTACAAATAGCTTCTTTAGATATTAGCAAAAGAAGTATAGAGATGTCAAAACATTGTCACAAATCTTAGAAGGGGCAGGAACTGCACCTTTCTCCCCACCTGCCCCAGGTCAGCTGCCTTTGGGCAGGACACAAACCCCACAGCCTTAGGCAGCGAGTGTACTGTGGGCCTCAGAGCCACAGACACAAGATGGTGTTGAACTCTTCTCAGAGGAATAGCTTAATGGAGATATGAAAAGCAAGTGGATATGAGACATGCTAAGACAGGGAAGGGTATTTGGAACATGGAACAGCATGGATAAAGTCAGGAAGGGGGGAAAAGGGGGGATCTATTTAATGCTGGGTGGAGTAATCAGGGTAATGTGGCTGAGCTGAAGATGAACGAAGCCAAACGGTGGGAGGCAGGGCTAGAAGCCACGGGCTGGAGCCTGTGCATGAAGCAAAATCAAGACAATCACTGACCGTACCCATCTTTAGAGGCAGGTGCACCAAGATGAGATGATGAGCACAGACGCTGCCAGAGCAGTTGATCCGAAGCAGCCCTCAACAGACAACCATAAAATCCCTGCTTTTTGTGCCTTTGCCCAGTATTTGAAGACGACGGAACTCACAGAGGCAAAGCATCTAATCTGTTCATCAGTTTGCACAACGTTAACCTCTAATTAGTATGTATAATGTTAATTCTGAAATGACTGCCGAATTAAGCAACGAAAATGAAAGATGTAATACAAAAATGTTAAGGCTGATCAAAGAAAATATTAAGGAAAACTCAAGATAAAAGGGGACTTCAGTCCAACGTGCACAGTGAGTGTCTCTACTGAATTATTCCTACCTTTGACTGTCCCAGCATATAGCATATACCTGTGGGTACTACTTAGAAAGCTTATTCAAAATTTGGCAATTTATTTAAGTGTCTTAATTTGTATGGAATCTATAAAACTAAAAGAGATCTACCCAAATTTGTATAACATTAATGGACTGGATTAAAAATATATTTTGTTTCCTGTCAGTTTTTTCCCCCTTGCTTTATTATTTAGATCTGTACTTTCATGTTATCATTTCCTAACATTTTCTTTTTGTAGCTGGAACTGATTTCTATTTTATATTTGGAAAATATAAAGTAAAAAGAAAAGATAGCTGGTGGTATTGTAGGAAAAGAAAAGACTGAGCCTTACTGAGCCAGATGAACTGAGAACTGAGTGCAGCACTGTTACCTGCCAGGTCCTCGTCCTTACCTACCTGACAACCCCAAACTCCCCTGTCTTCTCTGTTGTTCCACCTACAAAGAGAAACATACTTCCTTGAGTGACACTGTTTCCATCAAGTTTGACAGACAGTTTGTGCCTCCAACCTGGAAATAAAGAGAAAGAAGGGTTAAAAACACATGGAAAGCATGACATCCTGGCTTCTTTAATGTAAATACAACTTTCAAGGTTAAAGTGGAACAGGGCTGTTCACGTCCATGAAAAAATACAACTTTATATAGCTCGAGTGAATTTGGTGAGAAATTATATTTTAAAAAACATATAAATGTTCACATTTTGATTCTGTAAATAGCTTAACAATATTTTTTAAAGAAAATTATTTAATTTTCCAGGCATTTTTATAACTTTAAGAAAATGTGTGTGTCTTTTCTCATCCATTAAATTTGTATTCCGTGGCATGTATGCTTTCTGTAGCCAAGTTTTAATTTGCCATAGTTTGACAACTAATCCAGAAAAGAATCTAGAAAACCTATTGAGCAATAAGGTCTGTGCTTTTAAAATGATTTAGAGGCAAAGTAAACTGTCCCTTCCTCTCCTGCAGGGCTATGTACTAGGAATGCCCAGCCAATACAGGTCTGGGTCAGCACAAAGCCTGTCAATAGGATAAATCCCTTGCAAATCGTCAAGTGTAACTTAAAAAAAATCTAGAGCTAAACAGATCTTTTATTCTGAATTCTGAAATTGTTGTATGCTTAATAACACAGAAAAAAATGCAATTCTTCATAAAATTGTCTGAAAAGCCTCTGAAAGGGGAAAAATTTTACTAGAGAGAATTTTCAATCTGTGAGTTAATCATTGCCAAAGAGCTCCCTTTCCCTCCTCAGCCCATTCTACCGCCCTATGGCTCCCACTGTCACCTCTCCACTGAAACCCCAAACTCAGCAATGACGGGACTGGTGGCTCACCCCTAGAGCCCCTTTGGGCCCCTGTCTCAACTGACCTTTTAGCATATTTGGTGCAGTGAATCCCTCCCTTCCTCATCATCTTTCTTGCCCTAGCTCCCACACAGCTTTGTATTTTCTCTCTATTCATTCCTCAGTCTCCTTCACAGGGGCCTCTTTCTCTGCTCTCTTTCTTCTCATTTGACACAGTCTTCTTGGGTAATTACATCGTCCACTTTCATAGCTTAGATTACTGTCTAAATGCTTACATCTGTAACCGTAGACCACATCTCCAGAGGCTGAGACCCATATCTAACTGTACACGCCCAAGTCCTAAGGGCATCTCAGACCTAACATGTTAGAAACTGAGCCATCAACTTACTCCAAACCAGCCTCTCTGCCTGTGTTACCAAGTTCAGCAAATGGCACATCATCCCCCCAGCTAGAATCATCCTTGACTTCTCCATTTTCTGCATCCCTCAAATCCATTCACCCAGTTCCTTTTTGCTTCTGCCTGCCCAAAGATAAAGCCCAAACCTCCCACATGGAGCACAATTTCATTATTTGATCCAATTTACCTCTCCCACCTTGTCTCGTGTTACCCTCCTCCTGGTCTCTACAATCCAAGCAGGGGGATCTTCTTTCAGTTCCAGCTCTCTCTTACCTCCAGGCATTTTCATATGCAGTTCCTTCTACCTGGAATACTCCATTTCCTTCTCCCTCTTACTCACTTTTCAGGAGTCAGCTTGGAAATCACCTCCCCTCAGAAGGCTCCCCTGATCTGGTTGCAGAAGTTCCTCCTTTGAAAATCTCCCAAAAGAAAGTTTATTACTCAGAATTGAAACTGATTGTTTTTTTTTTTTTTTTTTGCTTTCCCCCGGCCTAAACTCACTGCATTGTTCTTCACTGCATCCTCGGAGTCTGGCCCAATGCCCACTTATTTAGTAGACACTCAGTAAAAACTGCTGAATTTTAAAAGATAAGTGCCTTAAAGCATTACAATAAAATTCAGCTACAATGCTTACGGGAAAATGGGGAAAGAGTCCCTGTGTTTAAAACATAATACGATCTATTAGTCTTCATTTTTTTGAGGTGAAATCTATCAGCAAAATGACCCATCATTGGGCAACCTTCCTTGTGACAACGGAAGCAATTTCCCTGGTGACAGAAAATAAGAGGTAATTAGAAATGTTCACCTTCAATAAACTCAGGATGTATTATTAAACTATCAGAAATTTTTGGAATCTAAATAAAGTATATATGCATTTAAAAATGACTAAGTTGCCTAACAGACCATCCTGCCTGTTTGCAAAAACAAAACTTAATAAAACAAAAACAACTGAGGGAAAAGAAAAAGGGCCTGTTAGAAAAATTAGTAAATGATATGAATAAACAATCCACAGAAGAGGAAACTCAAATAGTCAATAACTATGTAAACAGATACTCAATCTTACCAGTTGTCAGGAACGTACTAATTAAAGCAACATACAATTTCATACTCAGCAGATTCACAAAAATTAAGACAATCGGCAATACCAAGTATGGGTAAGACATGGAGTGGGGAATTCTCATTTGCTTCTTATGGGAATATAAATTAACAGACTTTGCAGACAGACATTTGGTAATGTCTAATAAAGATGGAAATGCACATAATATGTTGACAATTTCACTTCTATTATATGTCATAAACTTCTACACAAGCACATAAGGCGATATGCAAAGGTGTTCATTGCAAAATCGCTTTTAATAAGAAAAACTGCAAACAACCAAAATGCACATTAGTAGGGGAATGAATAAATAAATTGTGGCAGATTCCTACAAAATAAATACAATAGGTCTATAGACATCAATGTAGATCTTAAATTTATAAAATTTAATTTAAAAACAAATTCAGAAAGATACTTACAGTATGATACTATTTATATGATATATGTATATTGATTTGCTTCAAAGTCTGCCTTACGGAAGGGCATTAAGGAAATGTAAGGTACTTCAATTTTATCTGTATGTGTTAAAATCTAAAGCAAAACTAACAAAATATTAACTTAAAAAATCTGGGTAGCAGTGTTGGAGTATTTGCTATTTTAGGTTTTGAACTTTTAGATTTTTAAACCATGGACACTTAGGCTAGGACTATAGTAAAACACCCCATTTAAAAACTCCATTTTTAATGAATAAAAATACTAACAAAATAACAAGGGCTCATATGTATTGAGTGCTTACCATGTGCAAGGCACTGTTTGAAGCACTTTATATGCATTTAGGTCAATTACTCCTTACAAAGTCCCTTATTATTATAATGCTTTTACTTTCCTTATTTAGCAGATCAGGAAACTAAAGCCCAGAGAAGTAAACAATCTGTCCAATGTTGCATGTCTATCAAGTGATGGAGCAAAAATGTGAATCAGACAGCCTGGCACTAAAACCCCTCCTTATTTTATTTTATTTATTTTTTAAAATTTCATCTCATCTTTTACGACTGTTGGGTAAAAGTACAATGAAACACGTCAAGGAAATTGACTTGATGTTCTCTAGCTTGTTGCCATAATTGGCATCCATGTGGCACAGGAGCCTGTGGTTCTCCAGTTTAGCAGATTGAACCCCCCTAACTCTGAATCCACTGTGACTCTCAGAACCTGCTTCCTTCCACCTGCCTTTGGTGTAGTAAGTGTCAGGATCCATTTAGCCATTCAGAGCAGCATCTGGAGCTTGAAGAAGGTTTTGAGGAAGTGCCAGTGGTTGGATGGCAAGCTTTCCAAGAACAGCAGTTCACCAGCCACAATATGAGTAAGGACAACTTGCTCAGGAAACTGAGAAGACAGCCTGAGGGCTCACTCACCTTGCTCTGTAAAAGGAGGGAAATGCTTATTCCTGTCCCAACACTGTACTTATTCACAAAATGCTATTACTTACAACACACTTCGGCTGGAAACCCCCCATTTTTCTTCCCTGATAAAACAGGGGGTAGGTGTCTAAAGCACAAGCAGGAAAACCTTTCCACTTCCCGCTACAAAATGGATTTTCTTTCTCCTTTTTTCACAATGATAACCACATGAAAAATAGGTTCAGCTCAGATCTGGCACCACGTGCTTTATGACTCAAGCAAAATCAGATTTGGCATTTTGTAATGTATTGATCTGCATGGATCTCCTGTGAGCTATCTACGCCTCAGCTCTGCTCTGTATAAATAATTAAATTTTAATAAAAATAATTTTCATGTTCCAAGTAAATGGTAATATGTTTCACTGTAGCTATGGATTGGTTCAGGCTTCTCGGGGCATCTTTGAGGATGACATTTAAAATATATACACACAAAAATTTTTGCCCTTTTAGATAGTAGCATCTAATTATGGCATAACAAATGGCCAAAACAGCAAAATTGGATATAATTCAAAAGAGCCACAACAACCTGAATACAAATAGTTGGTTTAGTTATTTAAGCCCTCCAGCAACCCCAGTTACTGTTCAGTACTCAGCACAGAAAGAATCTATTATTTCCCAAAATGGCAGATGCATTTTTTTGGCTACATACTCAATGCTCTAATTTTTAGTTGGCTGATCATGCTTCAAAAAATGACTTGCTAATTAAATTACACTGCAAAACGTTTTACTTACTGCTTGGAAAGATTTGTAGGATCTACAAGGATAAGCAATAAATGCATCAGGATTGAGAATGCTTTCAGCATAAAAGCGATGACTTCGGGCATGGTTGCAATCAAAGAAGGAAAACACTTCTGTGAAAACAATTTCCAATTAACTGATAGTATGAACCATTTCTTAGAAAAAGTAATTTTAAATGATAGTTTTTTGACTTGGGTCTAGGTCACCAGACCTTGTGTGTAGGCTTGGATATTCCACATTTATCAATATTACATATCATTTTCTTGTACGAAAGAATTCGTGTGACTCTAAAGGGACATTCAATCAGGATAAATAAACAAATGCAAATGTAGGTGACTGTGCTCTGACACTAATATCCCCAACACTTCCCAGATCTCTGATGTAAGCACTTAGAGCTCTGAGTACCATGGTGCACATAGCATCTCCGCCTTAGACCAATTAATTCTCCGTATCCCTGTTTCTGCAGGAGTGACTGAACTCCCTCCTATTCAGTCATAGAACAGCCAGCAAGGTTAGCCAGTGCACACCTTCAGCTGAGCTTCCAGGTGAGACAGGTGGGAGGTATTGTAAAGACAAATTACAGACAAATTAGTTTTGCCATTGTCGGGCATAACATTACTGCTACTAATAGGATTATTGCAATAATACATAAAAGTTCTAAGTACATTCGTTCATTCTCAAGTTATCATAGCATTCCAGTCATTTATACTCTCTTTTCCTTACATAAAAATGCTTTTACTCTTTGACATGGACTATTCTTCCAATGACCTACCGAGCTTGGCTGACTTTTGAGAAACCAGATTTTGGTTTTAGTGTATGTGGTAAATCACTTATCTATATTTGTGGCCTCCAAAGAATCACTCCTTCCTAGGTCCTCACCCCTTTGCAATATCATGTTACTCTTCTTCCCTTCAGGAGATGGAGTTGTTTTGGGTTTTTTTTTTCCCTTCTGGGTTGGGGTTACAGGCTAGTCTTGTGACTTCTTTGACCAATAGGAACTGACACTGTGTGAGTCAGTGGAGGAACTGACACTGTGCAAGTTCCAGGGCCTTGGTCTTCAGAGACCTTCCAGCATCTACTCTTGCGCTCTTGGAACCCAGCCTCCATGTTAAGAAATCCAGGTTAATTGGCTGGGGAGAGAAGCTCTGAAGGATAACAGACCACTTAGAGAGGAGAGCTAGTACCAAGACCCCAGACATGGAAGGCCATCTTGGACCTTCCCACTCAGCTTAGCCCAGCCCAGCTCCCAGCTGGATGCAATCACATGCATTCGTCCAATGGACACATCACAAAGCAGAAGCTCGGCAGAACTCTGCCTGCATCTTGAGGCTTAGAATCATGGGCAATAAAACCATTATTCTCTTAAGCCACTATGGTTCATTATGCAATAGATAACTGAGACAGCATAATTTCAGAAATGCAACATAGCAGAGATAAAGAATTGGCATCATTTTTTTAAAAGAAGGACTTCTCTTACATCAGGTTTCTTTACATACAGGTTTATATTCATAATTAATTGTGATTTAGACAAGATGGTTCATTAGAATATTGGGAGCTATGAATTTTAAAAGTAAATGGTTTCTTAGTAATAAATATAATGTAACAGAATATCTTGAAGCTTAAAAGTCATCTAAAACTTAACATGAATGATAAATGTGCTTTTAATCCAATAAAGTTGTAGGAATTATATCTCAAAATGATAGCTTATGATAAATGTATGTTTTATTTGAATTCACTCTTTTACAGAATTTCAAGTGCTCAGTATATAACACTTAATACAGTTATGTAAAGGAGTCTTATGATCTATATTTTATCCTAATAGAACTAATTTTAAATCATAATATGGCAAATAATGAGAGAGATAAGTTTTATAATAGGCCTTTTCTGAATGAATTTCACTTACCTGCACTAGGTCAAATTGGCTTTAATTCTCATTTTGAGTATCCATAGTTTCACCAGTTTTTTTTTTTAAATAGTCATTGCAAACAGATATTTCTAATTACATTTACTCTTTCAGGACAGCTATTAAAACTTTGTAACTTATCTCTAGTGAAGAGGAAAGTCGAGTTACTCTCAATGTCACGATCTGTGTATCTTTCCTCTACAACAGCCAAATGGAAGATAAAATAATTACATCATCTAGCTATTCTGACCACATGGGATCAGGTGATGGGATATTTAGAATCATCATACGTTATATTACTGTGCATTATTATATGCTATGTATGATATAGTTCATTATTTACATCATGATGATGTGCAGAGATAGGGAGGAATGGAACTCCCAAATAATAACTTTTTGGTGCCTTATAGCTAAGTGCCTTATAGATATTATTATTATTATTATTAGAAACCACTTTAAAAGGTTAAATATTATTTGTTTAATTTGTGATTAATTTAATTTGGGACTCAGAGTGATTCTGTTAAAAAACAAGTCAAACCATGTCCCTCTCTGCTCAAAATCCTCCCATGGCTCCCCTCTCACTTGAGTAAAAGCTGAAGTCTTTACTACAGTCCATAAGGTGCTGTATTATCTCCCTCTGCCCTGTTCCTTCTCTAACTTAATGTCCTAGTACTCTCCTGTCTTTCACTTCATTTCAGCCACAATAGGCTCCTCACTGCCATGAACTTCACAGGCTCCTGCCCCAGGCCCTTTGCATTTGCTATTCCCACCCCTCAGCCTGGAATGCCTAACTGGCTAACTCCTTCAGGTCATCTTTTCAGTAAGGACTTCCTGGCCACCCTATCAAAAATCTCCTTCCCCTACGTCACCCCCAGTGTCACCAACGCATCATATTCCCATTACATGCTTTGTTTTGTCTCTTAGCACTTATTCTATTTTTGTTTTTCTAGCAAATTAGAATATTAGCTCCATCAGGGAGGGACTTCTGTCTTTTGTATGCGTTCCTACATCTGCTATTCCTAGAATAATGCTTGGCACATAGTAAGCACTCAATACATATTTGTTGGATGAATACATCCTCCTTGTTCCTACTGAGTGAGTACAACATGCTAGACATTCTGTTAGACCCTGGGGTTGCAGAGGTAACTAAGACGTGGACCCTGACTTTGCAGATCTCACAACTGCTGGGAACTTCATACATGCAACTGTGTTTTGGGCTAAAACATATTTTTATATTATATTATATTATATTATATACAAAAGGACATGGATTCTATCCAAGCAGGGAGCTCACTGAATTTATAATAGCAGTCCTCATATTTTAGAAAGTATTTAGCTTCCTTGTAAATATTGAGATCAAATTTAAATAAAGGTGTAATTAAATCTTCACATCTTGGCATGTGCTTCCCTCCATTTGGGTAAAAGTCAAGGTGGCCACAAGCATTAATAGTTCCAACACCTGAAATTTAAAAAAGCAGGATAAACGCTTCTAAAATTCTCCTCCATGTTTCAGTTTGTGTTAAAAACTTAACAAGCTCGAAGAGGAAGCGAACTTCATTTGTATGAATAACATCAACAGAGTTGGCATCTGAGGGGTCCAGCCTGACTTCATTTGGAGTGCTGTGGAAACCTGGCCCAGTTGGGTCCAAGCCTAGGAAAAAGCATAATGTGTATTAAACTGAGACATACAAAAGTACATTGATAGTACATGGATAGTGTTGTTATTTTGGAAGGATAGATGGTGAAAGCAAGGTATTCTTTCTTATATGATTTATGTAGGTCAAACACCACTCAGCTTGAGGGACAGATACATAAACTGTAGGGTCTGTTTACATTTATAAATTCAGGGTCTGTATATACTGCAATGTCGGATTCCTACACACAAGTGAGGCTGTGTCTAGACAATGCCAAAGTAGCTAACGGAGTCAGAAAAGTCAAGGTGGCTATTCTAGGATCTGTACATGGAATATCATACATATAACTAAGGTTACGGATTGTAGACCATCTTAAAAGCAACATTTATATGTAAAAATATAAAAATAAAAGATGAGAGCTCTTCAAAATGTAAAGATGGATCTCAAAGCAACACAGTTAAAATAATAGAATCATAGTCCTCAGCTAAGGCTCACTTAGTTCCATTCATTATAAGACAAACAAAAGCCTGAAGCCCAGGGAAGTGAAGGGACTTGACAAGGCCATCATATGTTAGGTACAAAATGGACCAGGAGCCTGGTGGCCAGACTCTCAACCCATTGTCTGCTGTCCAAATGTCTACTAAAACAAAGGTAAGATATCTAGGGTCCTTAAAATGTTATGATCATTCACATAACTCCTCATTTACACGTTTGACAGTTATTTATCAAGCACTTACTATGTGCCAGGAACAGGGTTCAGCATCTGTGTACAAGGAGTAAGGTCTAGCCTTGTCCTCAAGGAGCTTTCTGTTTGGTGGGGAAGGCACTACAATGCAGTGTGCTCAATGCTGAGACAGGTGAGCACAGGTGTTATGCAAGTACAGAGAAGCAACATGTAACCCAATTTTGGGAAACTAGGAAATGCGTCTGCTGGAGATGAGAAATACAAGCAGAGATGTGAGGGAACAGAAGGCCAGCCGGGGTGAAGATGGGGTCAGCAGCATCCTGGGAAGAGGATAGAGAATATACGTGACCATCAGGCGAGAGGGTTAACCACATTTGGGAAACTGTAACTGGCTTTCAAGGGCTGGTGCACAGAGTTTTAGAATTTGGTGAAAGATGAAGATAGCATTTTAAGCAGGAGCCAGATGTAACCTGAGCCACGATGAGTTTGGACATGACCTGGTTGTCGATGGGCAGCTCTTACAAGTTTGCAGAAGGGGAGGTTTACGGTCAGATTTGTATTTTAGCAAAGTCTCTTTGCTGTTAAGTGGAGACTGGGCCCCAGAGTGGAGAGGACTCAGAGTTGAGCTGCAGCTGACCCTTGGGAAAATGCGGCATGAGTGAGAAATGAAAGTGCCAAAGTTGCGGGGTGTGCATTACCTCAGCGCAACAGCCTGTCATACGATTCAGGTTTTGTTTCTATTTTTCTGGTTAATATAAGCATGGAGAGAGAAATGACAGAATGAGAAGAGGAGAGGAGAGAAGAGGGGGCCTAGGATAGAACCTTGAAGAATACCAACGAGTAAGGGAAGGTGAAAGAAAAGGCACCTGCAAGGGAGCCTGGAAAGAAGCTGTCAGACAAGAACAAAGACAACCAAGAAGATGGGGAACCACAGGAGCCAAGAGGAGAGGGGGTTCCAACAGCACAGAGGGGCCAGCGGGTCAAATTCTGCAGAGGGGCCAAGGAAGGTCAAGATGGGAAAGGTCTGGGAGAGTCCCACTAAAAAGTCAGAGTGCAGGGAAGGGATACAATTAAGTATCATCCTCAAAACCCTAATTCATAGGGTTCACTCTGCACCTTGTTTTTAGACTTAACAGTGTATCCAGGGGCAATATTCAAAATGTTCACAACTGCAATGGCATGGGCCTTAAACAAACCAGTTCATCACTGCCAGCTACACTGGGTGAGCAGGACCATCATCAGGGCTCTATCTCATTCTGTGTTATTAGTTGTTATGGAACTGCAAAGCATGGAATGCGTCATAATTCAGTCAACCGTCCCCGACAGGTGGATGATCACAGTTTCCATTACTTTGCCACCACAGATAACGCTGCGGTGAACACCCCTTGAACGTGGATTTACACACTCACACTTTGGAAGCGTTTCAGGTTTTGGTTTGGGGGAGTCACATTTTCTCCTGTCTTACATTTGCTTCTGAGACTTCGTTTGGCATTCAGATACTTGACATTTTGTGCATAAACAAATAGGTAAACAAACCCAAGGCCCATCTGCAGGGCTGACTTACCAGTTATCCTTCCAAGGCCTGGCGTCCTTGACCCAGTTTCCCCAGCCAGATGAGCTCTCAAGCTGCGGCCAATCAAGTGCACTTTAGAAGGGGAATATCCAAATTTTTTCTGGTAGGATTTTTTCAAAGGAAAACAGAACAACTATTTCTAAAAGAGCAGGTAGAATGGTTGAAATAGGCTTAAAATGAAAAAGGAGCTGACATGTTTCTCCCTCTCACACCCAGGAGGGGGACTGGTAAAGTGACAAAGCGACCCCACGTTCAACTACATCCTTATCCAGCTGAAGCAGAGAGCATCAGGTGGGCTGGAGGGATGCCTTCTGTCAGAGTTCTTCTCCCTGTGCTAAGGGGCCTCAGAGTCCTCAGGAGCAAGAAGGAGAACAGCCCAGTGACCGTGGCTGTGGCTTCCAGCCTGTGCCCATCCCTCCTGAGACCCAACCCATCCAGCACGCCCCCAACACAGGGCAAAGGCAGCTCACGCCCATGCTATTATCCACCTTGTCTGTGTCTGTCTTCTCCACTTTAAGGCAACTCTAGCAAATGTCTGGGATGACTTTGGCCTTCAGAAAAAGTTTTTAAGAATATTCACAATGAGACTATGTGGCCTCAGAGTTTACACACACACACGCACAATCAACTTAATGGGGAACAAAGGAGCAAACATTTTTAGTTTCAGCAAAGTTTCGGGCTCTCTTCATAATAGTGAAAATCATGCAGTTGCCTTCACTTGGATAAATCTGTCATTTGATCAAATCTATTTATTTTTTCACCAGTAATGACAGTATTATGTGCTGCATTATGAAGAGTATTTTTACATGTGAATGGCTGCCCCAGTGGCTCCTGTCGTTAGGGGGCCCTGTCCCCCACTGCTGCCACCATTTAAAACCTCTGCTTGCTTTCTTATCTTCCCCTACAGACTGTGTCTGATATTGGTTCTCACCCTCCTCCCCTTCAGCTTTCTCCTCCTCCTTCCCCATCTACCTGTAACCCTATTCCAGGCACCTGCTTGCCCCAGGGCTAATCCTGGTATCCTGTGATAAAATGACAGAAGAGGGGGCAGGGAAGAGACTCCTACCTGTTCCTTAGCTGCTCCTTCTGCAGGTCTGGCTCCTGAATTACTCTCGGGGGCTCCAGGCTCCCTCACCCTAGACCTTCTCCTGCTTTTCACCTTGGGCTTCCGAGGGGGCGAACAATTCACTGAACATTAAAGTCAGCCAACACTTTCCTCTTCAGTTCAGCAAAATCTCCTCCCAGCTTCCTACGAGCCACTCCTATTTATTTCCTGGACCTTTAAGAGCCTGCAGTTCAGGCCCCAAGATCAAGGAAGAAATTCACAAAAGCTTAGGACTGGTTTTTCTCTGAAAAGGTGATGAATCTGCTTTTATCCTTTGTGGACAAAGGCTCACTCTGAGCTCCTCCTTGTACTGTAGTGTCCCTGACAGAGCGGGAAGGGCAGGCAGAGGAGTGCGGGGCAGACAGAGAAGTGGGTGCAGACAGAGAAGTGGGTGCAGATAGAGAAGTGGGTGCAGATAGAGAAGTGGGGTGCAGATAGAGAAGTGGGGTGCAGATAGAGAAGTGGGTGCAGATAGAGAAGTGGGGTGCAGATAGAGAAGTGGGGTGCAGATAGAGAAGTGGGGTGCAGATAGAGAAGTGGGGGCAGATAGAGAAGTGGGGGCAGACAGAGAAGTGGGTGCAGATAGAGAAGTGGGTGCAGATAGAGAAGTGGGGGCAGAAAGAGAAGTGCGGGGCAGATAAAGTGGGGTGCAGATAGAGAAGTGGGGGGCAGATAGAGAAGTGGGTGCAGATAGAGAATTGGGGGACAGATAGAGAAGTGGGTGCAGATAGAGAAGTGGGGGCAGAAGAAGGTGAGTATTTGGCTCCCTGACTCTCCTCCAGGCTGTTTCCTAACTGGGCTCAGCGCTCTACACCACCTTCCCTGACCCCCATCTAAGTGAGGTGCTGGTCCTGTCACGCCCCCTCCCGTTGCCTTGGAATTCTCCACAGTACTGTTCCCACACTTGGCCGGAGCAGAAACACTGTCTCACTCACCAAGTACCTTCAGTGCCTAGAACAGAGCCGGGACCACAGCAAGTGCAGAGTGAAATAGTTGTTGGATGGAAGGAGTGAACTCTCCTTAAGAATCTGAAAGCGTCATAAATCTTTAGATTTTACTTCACTGCATTTCACGGTGTGAAATTACTTTCTATTATGGTAGAGCATTTGGAGATTTATAAATGTCTCAAAGTATATCCCTCATAAATAGCAAAGTCTATTTTATTCTTTTAGGAAACGTGTAGGTTAACGGGTCATGCCTGGACTGGCCCATGGACCTAATTCACTGCCATAGAACCCAGTTTCTGTTGGAAAAGACATTTCACATTCTACACAAATAGCATCCATAAGGCAGAAACAGTTTCTTCTCTATCATTAAGGATAGGTTTACAATGTGATGAAAACGAATGGAGATGGTCCTACACACTGACCATGGCAGTAACCTTGGGGGGTGGGGAAGGATTTGGTGAGGAGCCTGTGAAGGGACACTGCCACCAAGTGGCACTTTGTAGAACCACAGGCACTTCTTTCACAGGAAGTAACTTCCCTTTTTGGCTATCATACACCAATGCTTATTATTTCACGTGTTCAGTATATGTGTAAACTAATAAAAAAGAACATAGAATTACCCCCAAATTCTTGGTGTTATGATACAAAGTCAGTTAAATATAATTTAAAAAAATCAACAGTTCTTACCACAAGAACATCAATACAATAAGCTATCTCAGCACCAACAGCACGGAGATTGCTTACAGCGTGGATATATTTCAGCAAACCATTAATCCAGCGTAAATTAATGCAGTTCACATCATCTACTTTTAGGAACACCTAAAAAGATTTATTGTAAGTATTAAAAAGTAAGAATTAAAGAAAATCAAGGTGCCTGAACAACTGATTTCACAATAAGAAATAACATTTGCAGGTATTGAGAACCTACTACATGCTAGGCCCTGTCCTAACCCTTTTACATATACTAACTTAATACTCATTTAAAGAGAAGGAAACCTAGGCACAGATAGGTTAATTAACTTGCCCATGACCACAGAGCTAGTAAATAGAACCATAATATGATTTCAGACAGCCTGACTCTACCACACTATATGGCTTATAAATAATTAATTGCTTACTACGTTAGCAGTCTATTAACCCTGGTATAAAAGAGAGGAAAATTAATTTCATGGAGTGAACTTGGAAATGTTTTCCTTAAAATAAATGAGAAATTTATCACACCACTCAATCTTTTGTCAAAGGTGAGAATTTACCAAAGAATAATTATAAAAATCTTCCATCATAATCTGTGTGATTCATAATAAGTGAAAATAAATGGGAAATGGGTAATTCATTTGAGGCCTTGGGACACGGACAATGTGAATAACTGAATGGAGAATTTCCATGAATACATTAGTACCTTGCAAAGTACATTCACATTAAACATAAAGCTTTCATACTAGTGTAAAGAAGCGTTTATTCACATCATACATTGCACATGTCTTGCTGCCATTGCCATCTGATTTCCATCCAGGTATGTTGATATGGGTGATCTTGTCTGTTCCGAAGTGTGAGGCTTGGATAGTTAAATAATTAGCTGCACTGATTTCCTGTTTCAGGTGAAAAGAAATTAAGGTAAAATAATTGAAAATTATTTACTATTTAGTAAAATTATTCTAAATTTGCTCAAAAGTCTTCCTCTAAATTTGATTTTAACAGCCTTCTTTAATACATTTTTATCAAAGAAATAGTTACTGCTACATATTGCAAAAGTACCAAGAAATTATTAATGCATTACAAAGTGCAATATACAAATTTTATCATAAAGGAAATAAACATGTTTGGTTTTGAGGCAATGTTCATAAGACAATGTTGGGTCAGTTTCAATCAGAATTTCAGTAAGCCTTACTTTTGTATAGTATTTTTCAGTTGTCAATATAATTCATGAGAATTATCTTATTGGAGACTTAGAAGCATGCTCCAAAGGTGGCAAAATAGATTGTCCACCACACTTTATGAATGAGGAATAGAGGTTAGACTTTCACCACATGAAATACAACAGCATATTAAAGATAATTTTATGGGATTATGTTAAATATTGTTTTGTATTTCTTGTATTTTGTTGGATGGTTTTTATAACCAAACTCTCAAAGTCTTATAGAATGCTATGAATTTAAGTGATTTTGTTATTAAAAGAAAAATTAAAAGTCACAAGTATAGGGCTCCCCTGGTGGCACAGTGGTTGAGAGTCTGCCTGCCGATGCAGGGGACACGGGTTCGTGCCCCGGTCCGGGAAGATCCCACATGCCGCGGAGCGGCTGGGCCCGTGAGCCCTGGCCACTGGGCCTGCGCGTCCGGAGCCTGTGCTCCGTAACGAGAGAGGCCACAACAGTGAGAGGCTCGTGTACCGCAAAAAAAAAAAAAAAAAAAAAAAAATGTAAATTCTTGTCTATGGTCCAAATTTTTATAATTATAACTTTCAACAACTTATGGAGAAGGAAGCAATTCTACAAGTTCATTCATTCCATTCTCCTTTTTTTCTAGTACATGTAGGCACTTAAAAAATCAGCTTCAGGACTGGTTCCCATTCTCTGAAATCCAAGGATCACCATTACGTATTGTTCTCACTGAGACAGTAAAACTGATATGTGTATCCCAATATAACAAATATATCTATTCCCACAACAAATAATGCCAAGAATTCAACTCTGGTACTGATGACTATTTACCTCTAATCAGGTTAAATATTGGATTATTTCATTAACTAGTTCAATTTTATTTATTTATGATCCTATATTTCCAAAATGTCTAGTTGCCACTTTAATGAATTTAAATTTTCTGAGAAAAAGATGACTTAGGGGCAACTTGAAGACAATTGGGTTTTCTCTTTTCACTAGAGAGTCAGTATTTGGGCTGACAGAATGACATGCTTCTACTTGAGGTTTATTGAATACATACCCTTAAGCTCCTTACATGATAAATCACAGGACACATTTTAACCAAAGCATTTATTTCCCTCTGGTGGATTTTATATTTAAATTTTACGTGACAGTACATGATACAGAAAAGACAACCCAATTTGACATCTGAAGAGAGCTGTATGAGAAAGTACTCTGGACACAGAGAGATAACAGAAATAAAGGGTGTTGGTCTCTGCTTCTCATACCGCCACGAGCTAGCTAACCTAGGACAATACACTCTGAATGTGACTCCCTTGTCTATAAAATGAGGAAGTTGAACTTTGTAATATAATGTCCTTTGTGGTTCTAAAACAGTCTATGCTTTGAATTTTAAGAGTCATATTCACAGATATTTGTGTAAGTTCTTCTCCTGAGGGGAGGAGGGACCTCTCTCACAATAATTCTGGTGCTGTAACCATAAAACCACCCTAAAGTGATTATTTCTTACCATCTATACTGACTCGGTGTTTACCACAGCCAGGTGCTGACTCTTGGCACCATCCAGAAAGGAACTCTTCTCTTGAGCAGGATATCATGAAGTAATTTTAAGAATGGAGCATGACTGGAATTGCAACTAAAAACAAAACAAAACAAAACAAAGAACCAGTGTGCTTTGGTGAGTAAAGGGGTTGATTTAGGTCCAGTCAAATCTGAGACCTTGCAGCGGCAAAGGGAAATGAATATCACTGTTGTTTCAAAGAAACCCATCAACTGAGATAGCTTCCCCACCCTGCCCCAACCCCTCACTGTGGAAGGGAAGAACAAGGGAGCAATAATAAGGAGCTGCTTCACCTTAAAGATGAAGCCCCACCCTTGGGCTGGGAGACTCTGCAGAAAGGAATAGGACCAGCTGACAGAAGTTGAAGAGTTCAATTTAAGGAGCAATTTTCTAATAAGTAGAATGTCCCCAAATTAGAACTTATTGATTGATTACTTCAATAATACATTTGATGGGACTTCCCTGGTGGTCCAGTGGCTGGGACTCCATGCTCCCAATGCAGGGGGCCCGAGTTCAATCCCTGGTCAGGGAACCAGATCCCACATGCCACAAATAGGAGTTCGCATGCCACAACTAAAGATCCCCCATGCTGCCCACATGCCGCAATGGAGATCCCGCATGCCGCAACTAAGACGCAGCCAAATAAATAAATAAATTTTTTTTTTTTTTGTGGTATGCGGGTCTCTCACTGTTGTGGCTTCTCCCATTGCGGAGCACAGGCTCCGGAAGTGCAGGCTCAGCGGCCATGGTTCACGGGTCCAGCCACTCCGCGGCATGCGGGATCCTCCCGGACCGGGGCACGAACCCGTGTCCCCTGCATCGGCAGGCGGACTCTCAACCACTGTGCCACCAGGGAAGCCCAATAAATAAATATTTAAAAAAAAAAAACATTTGAGAACGTTGTTACAGGGAAAACACTTATTATAAACAGGATATTAGGGATTTAAATATTGAATCTGCCCTCAACGAGACTACAGTCTAGTAGAAGTCATACATCATATACATAAAGAGGTCTAAAACGAGACAGAAGGTAAGACTTATGAACTGAGTAGAAAGGTAATAAATCCAATATCAGTGGCACTGTTCAAGGAGAGCCTGCATGACTATTTGGGGTGACGTAAGAGAGATTTACACATCTGGTAGAAAGTTAACTATTATACATGACCTTCAAGATCCTTTCCAACAAATGCTTTGTGGTTTTATTAAAACTATCACTATAGTAAGGATTTTTTAAAAAACAGGATTGTCTGATTTTCTGTTCCACTCACAGCTAGATATTTTTTTCTTGCAGAAATGTAAGAAATCATTTTCCAACACAAGCTCTTAAAACAAACATTCTTTTTTTCAATAAACTTATTTATTAATTTTTTGGCTGCGTTGGGTCTTCGTTGCTGTGTGTGGGCTTTCTCTAGCTGTGGCAAGCGCGGGCTTGCGGAGCACGGGCTCTAGGCGCACGGGCTTCAGTAGTTGCAGCACGCCGGCTTAGTAGCTGTGGCTCGCGGGCTCTAGAGCACAGGCTCAGTAGTTGTGGCACACAGGCTTAGTTGCTCTGCGGCATATGGGATCTTCCCTGACCAGGGATCGAACCCCTGCCTCCTGCATTGGCAGGCAGATTCTTAACCACTGTGCCACCAGGGAAGTCCCAAAACAAACATTCTTAATTTACTTAAAACATGTTTCTGAGAATTCAACCAGTTTTAAAAAGCCAATACAGCACATTTAAAACTATTCCTTAAAAGGCAGGTACCAACATTCTTTCCAGTATAATCATGATGGATTTTTTAAAGTAAAAATTATTTTATATAATACAAACCAGAAAAATGGGACTAATATAATAAACTTACATACATCTATAATTTCCATTTGCTCTTCATACTATTCTGGTTTTAAAATTAATTGTTCAGAATCTTATTTCACAGTCACTCAACTTTTATTGACTCCAATATTGACAGTCTTGGTACAAGTTATAAAGCCTTATGTGGCGTGATATATAATTAAACTACTTCGTCTCTTAACTTATATTAATGGGCGCATGTCAGAGAACACCAATTCTCTCTGAGAAGAATGTAAACTCACGTTAATTTATTGAGGAGAAGCCCACCAGGGCCATTACCCGCTTGGCCTGTGCCTCATCTAGTGAAGCACTGGCGGCTGCAGGCCGTGGTTGGGAGCCCTGCAGCTCAGTCTACAATCTTCCTTAATGTAACTTCTATTAACAGTAAATTCGTATTTAACTAGCCTGCTAGGTACATTTTTCAAAATGTAAAGCCACTGGATTAGATTAAAATACAGCAGAAAAAAAAAAAAAAGCATTAGTATAAACATCTTTTCCTGGAACTACTCACTAGCTATTTTGATTAGCATTTTAAATAATCCCCAAATTTCTCCAAAAGTCTTCACCAATGCCTAAGCTCATCCATTTTATGTGGGCTTTCGAAGATTACTTTTATTTCTAAATTATTGTGGTAGGGGAGCCTCTCAATGTTGTTCCTAAATACTCATACATAAATTCAGTTGAACGGTAATGGGTATGGTCCAACCATTTTTGGAACACTGAGTTACAAATAAATAAGTAGCAGGATCTGGTCTGTTGTTTATGGGTCAAGACACTTACTCTGTTCTTACACCTCAGGGCGATAAGGCCCTAGCAAATGATTTAGCCACCCAAACTGACAAGAGGCTGCTATGTAAACTGGAAAGCAAATTTATTAATGTGTAAAGGAAAAATTCACTTCTAAGGAGAAAAGGTACTCTGGTGCCTGATAATTATGGTCTCTCCCCTAGGCCAGATCAATAATGTTCCTGTTACTTGGTGAGCATAGCATCTGATCAAGGATAGCTAGTTGAATGATGGTTATGGCCACTGTTATCCATCTAAGAAAAGACTGATGCATCTATCTCCACAGTAACAATATCCTTGAGGCCACTGGTTAGGTACATTTCCCCCCTAGACAGTGCTGGAGACACTCCGACAAACTCTCGCTTCCCGAATCTGTTTATAGACACCATACAGGTCATCCCCTTTAATACAATCTTTCATCAAAGGATGACTGCGCATCACATAGAGGCTTAGGGGTTACTCATTCAAATGCTTACAAGGGCCAGCCAGTCACGGAAATAAGTGAAGCAGATGAGACGTGAGAGAAATCAAGTGTCAGAAAAACAGCCAAATTTACTTTATATTTTCTGAATGTGTATTAATATAAACAGGTATGTACAGTTTTTTAGAGACACATGAAACTTTAAAATAAAAAATAACATTGAAAAAGTAGAAATATTTCATTACTTAAGTTTTCTTTCATAATTTATTATTTCTTGACTTATCATTGAACCTAACATATCACCATCAGACCATGTAAACCTAAACCACAAATCCTTTAACTAGGTGCAATAATCGGATTTACTCAAGTTCATATGCAAAAATGGAATCTACAAACACCAGTGCTACTTAACATGTATAGACTCTCTTTACATGAGGGTTATTGTTGGACAAGTGTTCAGTTATGACATTCCAACGTCACTGTATTTAATTTTCAGTTACTTATTGTTTTGCAGTTCTACAACTTCAATTTGTAGCTTTTTCATATTATCAATATCAAATTATAAAGGTAGGCTTTCTAATGTTTCAATGTTAGTTTATTTTCATAGAGTTTAAAATCAGAGAATCTTTTTGGAGTTTTACTTCAACTCTACAGCTTTGGTAATGTGGTTCAAGCCATGCCTTTCATTTCAGGAAAATGATTTCAGTGTAGGGTAATGGGCCAGATTATTCCTTGCCAAATTATTCTCTTAAAGGTACAATTTCACTTCAAGTGAGCAAATTGAGTCATACATTTGTGTAGCTGTTTGTGAGTGCCTTTGCAGAGAACTATTCAAAGTTGATAGGTTCTAACATCAACCCAAAAGGCCAAGACTTTGATACACTTTTTATTTTTAGATATTGAGTAAGGATTTTTTTCTCTTGAATAACATAAAAGTGTCCAAAAATATCTTTCAACACTCAGCCACATAAATCCATATACTACAACAGGCCACCATAGCATACATCTAATTCATAAAAAGAAGGCCTGGAGTATCTGGATTTCATGCTATGGGATTTTATCCAGTTCACACTGTTAATTACTGCACATTCATGGTATATTACATTTTAAATTATCTAGCACAAAGCTATTACTGGAAAATGATGTAATCAGGAGACCTAAATTCTATGTCTCTTGGAAAATGTTACCTTCCTGAGTTTAGGTTTTCACCTTAACCCTGTCCATTTCAGGAGTTGAATCACACTGACTCATTCGGACCAAGTACATTATATTTTGTGAATTTTCTTATGGACAGAGAGAAGTCATTTGCTAAATTCCAATCAGAGCCTCTCATCTTCCGACACAAAAATTTTTGTCAATATCACCAATTTAATATAGCTGACTATGTGATATCATTTATATCTGTGCTCTCATCACCTATTCTATTTTCATGTAACAGAAAATGCTACAACCAATTTAACTTTTTTAATGCAACTTTTCTGTAAGTGCTAAGACATGACTTCAGTTTGCTGGTCAACAGTATTTCCAGTAAGACTTAAATTTACAAATGCTTCTCTCTGTGTAGAACACATAATTTCTGCTGTATTCTTTTACAAAAGCATCCTCTATTAAAAAAGTTTTTGCTGTCTCAGTATTTTTTTGACTTAATATATAACCTCATTTATAGTAGCATCAGATATTTTATTCATATTCAAAAACAACTGTTTGTTGACATTTCAGTCCTATTTTCAGGTTAAGTTTTTCATTTCTCATCTCCATATAGCAGTCCTGGATCTTATCATGGTTTACTTCTTGTAGTTTCATATGGTTTATTTCATATTTCACAACCATTTAAGTTGTGGTTCTTTCAATACAGACATCTTTTGTTTGCATATTACATATGGAATAATTTTCTTTACTTCATCAAAAAAACATGATCTCGTCCACTGTGCCTGAACCAAGCATCCTGTTCCCACATTCAGTGGAGACAGGGTATAGAGTAACTATTCTCTGTTCCAGGAGAAACAAGTGCAGGTGGCAACTAAAATCGGCTTCGGTGCTAGAGAGACAATAAGGAGTCATAGTAATTGTGGCTAATGAAAGAGCAAATGTTCCATCTTAAGGGAATAATTGCTGCTACTCCATATTTAAAAAGGTGGCTACTATTTTCATACAGAAATGCAAGTTTAGTATTGCCAAAATCAATTTTTTAAAAAGAGAAGCTGAAAATTATTGGCTCAATTAAACAACAACAAAGCACTATAAGTCAACAGGCTGGACAGAATAGTTCAGTAAACTGAATTAGCCCCGTAGGCAATCAGTATGCAATCTCTGTATTCGATGTTAGATATTTTCACGGAATTTTACTTTTCTGAGACTACATCGACCACCATGATTGGAGTGCTATATATTCCCCAACACTTCAAACATTTGCAAAAACTTTTATAGTTGTGAGTTTACAGTGTGAACCTCTTATTTTTGTTATCCCAGCAAGTTATCCCTACTGGAGGGGATATCCCTACTGGGTGGTTATACTGCACCCACCATCATAGAGAGGAAGTTATGTGCTGCAGGCTAGCCACAGTTCTGAGATTTGTGGATGGGCACATGACCCAAGCCAGCCCAGTCAGAATCCTTCCCAGGTTTTTGTTTAGACAGTTGAGATACTTACTCTCTTTCGGGCTCACTTTACCTGAAAGCACAATGAAGTCTAGAATTATTTATGGTCATTTTTGTCACCATATAGAAAGAGTCTACTTCAAGTTATGCCAACGTGGAGGAAGATATCAGAGCCATAAAAGCTGGAAGAAAAGAGACAAATTGGATAATATCATTTGAACTGCTGAATCCAGCCATTTCTGAAGCCAGAATTTTCCCTGGTCTTCCTGGCTACATAAACCAATATATTCTCTTTTTGGCTTAGGCTGGTTTAAGGTGGGTTTCTACAACAAGCAAAGAGTCCTGACTCTGTATCTGACTAGTACAGACAACTTATATTACCAATTATGTCTGAGTTGTTTGACAAGCTATGTGGTCCATATAAACCTGAGTTTTCTTTATTGTAACTTACTACACTTAATCGTAATCTCTTATTTAACATCTACTTTACATGCTAGCTTTGGAAAACTTTTTCTATAAAGGGCCAGACAGTAAATATTTTAGACATTTTGGGCCAGACTGCCACAACTAACTCAACTCTGTGTTTTAGTGTGAAATCAGTCATAGACAATACATAAACAAATGAGTGTGGCCGTGTTACAATAAAACTTTATTAACGGCACTGGAATTTGAATTTCATATAATTTTCACATCATAAAATATTCTTTTGATTCTTTTTCAACCACTTAAAAATCATTTTTAGTGTGTGAGTCATATTTGGCCTACAGGCTATAGATTGCTGACCTGGTAGTAGACTGTAATCGCCACAAGGTTGAGGAGTGGGTCTCACCCTCACTGTGTCCTCAGCACCAAGGGGCAGGGCTTGCCTATAGCAGTTTATCACTAATTATTGAAAGAATAGATGAATGCTCAAGGAAAATCAAGATTACAGAAAATTCAGTTTTCACAAAAAATACAGTCACATCAAGTAGTTTGGAAAATTAGTAGAAATTATTAAAGACTTAAGGAACCTGAGGAAGGTCGTGCTTCTTCCTAGTTCTCTGGTATCTTCTTTGTCCCTCTCTGATCTCTTTACAACAATTGCTCTTGAATTGTCCCTGGAACCCCCAACTTTTTCTCCTTCTGTTATGCAGATCAAATTTTTCCCTTTACAACTTCATCCCAAAACTTGCATATCAAAACCAATCGAGGTATTCAGACGAACAGAGGGATCTACCCCACAAGTCAGGGTGACCAACCTCCCCAGTTCCATTAGCGACATTCTCAGTAGGTCACTGGTCTCAAGCAACACACTTAAATGCTCATTTTTTTTGATAAAGAAAATGGAGAGACTATCACCTATTGATCCAACACATATGTTTTCTTGAAAGTTTCACATAATTACTGAATATATAGTATATATTCATTCACATATATAGTGAAATATATACATAAGCTTTTAAAATTCTTCAAAGAATTTAATACATTATTAATAAAAATTTTAGCAGTGTTCACAGTGATCAATGTGTATAAGGAATGTGATCCAGCAGGCTTAGATCAAATTTGTTTTTTAAAAAAGTAGTCATTTTAATGAAATTTCTCATCTTAAAATAAAAAACTAGTTCAAAGGCTTTCTCAGAAAAAATCAACTACAACCAGAATAACTTTCATACTATATTTTTCTTAACTGATATTCTCATATTCAACTAATTTCAAACTGTTAATGAATGAAAATGAAAAATGATGACACCTAAGTTTTAACTGTGTAAAAATAAACAGAAGAACTCAACCAGTCTAAGATCATAAAATATGAAAATTTATCCTTTTAGGATGTTTTGCTCTATAAGAACATGGATATTTCTGAATATCTTTAAAAATAATATTTTATTCTCATGGAATCTTTTTCTCTTCCATTAACCTGGAGGATAAACTTAGACTTTTAGTTAAAGTAAGTATAAAATGAATAAGACAGCAATGTGTTATCAATACATAACACAGCAGTATTATAAAATTTTTAAGTCTTTCATACAACAATGAACAGGTCTCTTTTCCTCAAAATTATCTTTAATGCATTGCTCAGCTGCTGTTGCTAAGATTTTTTTCTTTTTTTCCTTGTTTTTGAAAAAGAATAATATGTCATATAACCTATGCGCTTCTCTTTTTCTGCCTTAATATCTGCTATTATATCCATGTAAAACTAAAAATCTACACAGATATATCTTTGTTTTAAATAATCACACATAAAAGTGGTTATAATTTAAATTGTTTTAAATGTTTGCATTATGTTTCAAACTGAAAATTCTCACAAATGAAAAGCTTAGATTTATAGCTCATACCATCCATTGAATCTGTCCATTTTTTGCGTTTACATCCGTTTATTAAACACACAAGTAAAATATGAAATACCTAACGCTAAGCAAAGGTGATTCCGTCATTTAAGAAACACAGGATGAAAACACCTGATTGCAGACTTTCCTGATGGCGCAGTGGTTAAGAATCCGCCTGCCAATGCAGGGGACACGGGTTCGATCCCTGGTCAGGGAAGATCCACATGTTGCAGACCAACTAAGCCCATGCGCCACAACTACTGAAGCCCGCGCGCCCTAGAGCCCACGCACCGCAACTACTGAGCCCACGCACTCTAGGGCCCATGTGCCACAACTACTGAGCCCGCATGCTGCAACTACTGAAGCCCACTCACCTAGAGCCCGTGCTCCACAAGAGAAGCCACCGCAATGAGGAGCCTGCACGCCGCAACGAAGAGTAGCCCCCGCTCACCGCAACTAGAGGAAGCCCGCGCGCAGCAACGACGACCCAACGCAGTCAAAAATAAATAAATAAATAAAATTAAAAAACCCCAAACATCTGATTGCTTTAACACTTCACAGAATTGATAGCTCTCACTGGTTATCTCCCCCTGGCTCTACAAAATCAAGTGTAGACCTAAAATGGAATCTTTTCTCTGCTCTTGAATGTCATGTCGTTTTCCACAGCTGACTACGAGGAGCCTTTTCCAAAGAAGATTTCACTCCCATTTGTTTTTTTTTTTTGTTTTTTTTTTTTTGTGCGGTGCGCGGGCCTCTCACTGTTGTGACCTCTCCCGTTGCGGAGCACAGGCTCTGGACGCACAGGCTCAGCGGCCATGGCTCACGGGCCCAGCCGCTCCACGGCATATGGGATCTTCCCGGGCCGGGGCACGAACCCGTGTCCCCTGCATCGGCAGGCGGACTCTCAACCACTGTGCCACCAGGGAAACCCTCCCATTTGTTTTTAATTGAGGGGATGGTGTGGGGAGAAGGGCAGTAGGGGAATGCAGGAAATTAAACCAAGTCTAGTCAATTCTTAAAAAAAGATAATGTGTTCTTGCCACCTGTCAGTTGCAACCTCCTAATTGGCAGGAACCAAGTTTGCACCGAGGTTGTGCACAAGCCTAACTACCCCATTACACTGTGAATTCTTCAAGGGCAGGGCCCTGTTTTATTTATCATTTTACCTCCAACACCTAGCACAGTGCAAGAGAATTAGGAAGAGTTTAGTAAGAGTGTTGAAGGAATTAATGAATGGGTGAAAGGCCATTAGTTGAGATTCTATTTGTAGCTATGGCCATAAGTCTTTTTAGAAGAGAAATGAAGACAACATCTCATTAACTAGGACTGTAGGGTAAGCCCCAAAGAAGAATAAGAGTAATTACTGTTATTGATTTTAAATACAGAAAATAATTAGTGAAAATCACTCAAAAATTTGCATTCATCTATTGAGATCTGAAAGTTTGGGTTGGTTTCTGATGACCACAGGATAGGGATGAAAGAAATACCATTGGATTAGAAACTAAAGTTTTGCCATGTCAAAGACCATTTGATCAATTGTTAGAATTTTTGTCCCCTTTCAATTCCTGTGTTGCATATGGCAATATTTTAGAATAAGGTGGGGTTAGAATTGCTTTTTATCCAATAAAAAGGTAAATGGAAGAATTGGCTTACCTTCTATCTATATTTTGGAGACAAAGGTGGGATCCTGTTGAAAAGAAAACTGGACCAAGAAGGGCATAATCAACTCATTCTCATCATTCCTGATCTCCATCTGGTACTTAAGTAGATCCTTTGTTTTTAAAATGAGCACTTTGGGATGTACCGATGAGTTAGATGTTGATCAGTATATGTCCCAGGATTTCTTTAATGGCTTTCCTTTGCACAAAGAAACAGATGTCTCTGAGCAGTTTATGGAATTTGCTCATGAATTTTTTTTTGCGGTACGCAGGCCTCTCACTGTTGTGGCCTCTCCCGTTGCTGAGCACAGGCTCCGGACGTGCAGGTCCAGTGGCCAGGGCTCACGGGCCCAGCCGCTCCGCGGCATGTGGGATCTTCCCGGACCGGGGCACGAACCCCTGCATCGGCAGGCGGACTCTCAACCACTGCGCCACCAGGGAAGCCCTTTGCTCATGAATTTTGATAAGGCTTTCCATCGTTACTGCTTTACTTATAGTAGTACCATTGATCATCAGAGCCGTAACATCAGACATTGCTCAAAGGTTACCCCTTCACAAGTGGAACCAAGAACTAAGTTGCTTAGGTCAAAGACCCATATACCTTTTGTCAACATTTAAATTTTTTGCATTTCTTAGACAACATAGGACAAAATCTAACATGGAGTTACCAATAAAATCCTCCTCATATACTTTCTGACTGAACTCAGCCCAAGTAAATTCCCCAGCCAGTGAGACCACATAACCAAGCATCACGATAACTAAAGAAATATACCCTAATACTAACGTCCGTATTACACAAGGAGAAAGCTACTGCCCACAGAGTCAGCAGAACACAGGAATTGCATGCATCATAATACAAGGAGACAAGCCCGATATGGCTTTGGCTATGTAGTATCTAAAGCTTTACCTACAAATTCAAGGATACCATATGAATATTTTCTCAGGAAATGCCACTTCGTGTGAACCTGCCATTAGGATGAAAACTTAGCAATAGTATAATAAATTTCATGACTGGATATGAATATTCATGTGACCTTGACTATAAAAGGGTTTTACTCAGAGGGTCTATGCTAGGGCATATACCTTAAGGCAGGGAAACATTAGCAGTAGCCCTCGAAATGGCCATGACTTGGTAATGTCTACTGCAGTTCTTGGGAGTCAATCAACGGTGACTACTTCCTCACATGGTCTGTTGCACAGATAAGCACCACATCTGATGTAGCTAGAAAGAGTGCAAAGGAGGGCAACAGCAACTCAGGCAGGGGGACAGCTTATAAAAGTGTCTGGGGAAGAAATGATTCACAAATTTCCTAAAATATAATTCAGGGACCTGCGAGCTTATGAAAAGAAACCTGTATAGTCCACCTGGATTCAGACGTTACACCATTTACTTGAAAACTGAAATATGTATCTCTTGTTTTAAGCGGAAAACAACGGGCACCAATTAAGTTAATGGAAAAAGAGGGCCTCAGACTAGTGCGACGACCCCAGGTGGACTACACCAAGTCCCTTGAGAAAGGTCCCAAACATAGAACTACAGGAACATGTTGAGAGACCACCAGTTATCCATCAAATAAGAATCTAAGCACCTATATTTAGTGCTTTCGAGCGCCTCAGTTTTTACCATATTTTGCTTCAATAAATGTGAACTACTGCTGAATTATTTTATAGCCCGCTAGAAAAATGTTGCTCCATGATATTAAATTCACCAGCACAGAGATGCTTTCTGGAATATCAAGCAGGTACTGAGTCTTGAATTTGTGCCACAACATTGCAAACACAAGCCACAATTTCTTCTGCTTCACACTAAGAAATCAGACGGTGCTGAGGGAGCAAATGCTCGTTCTTAAAGGACAATGTCATCTTCACAATGGAACCAAATAAAGGAAGCCCTTGATCCTATCTCAGAGTTGAGAAGTTCTAGACATTATTCTAGAACTTTTATATAGAACAATTATGTCTATATAATTTACATTGATCACAAGTTGCTTTCTGGACTACAAGGAGGATGCATGCGCTTTGAAGTAGTGGACAGAGAGAAGACATTGTAAGAGTCTTAGTGTAAATAGTTAAAGCTGGTGGGAGTAGGAAACAGGTGGTTGGATAAACAGGACCTGAACTTTCCGACAGGAAGAGCAAGGAGAATCCCAGCCTTATTCACACGAAGTCAGGTGTCAGAACCTTGGTAGAGAGGAGGTATTCAGAAGAGGATATCCGGTTCAGGAATATGACCCCTCGTAGCCAGAACAGTGTCCAATGATTTTTTTCTCCAAATAGGAAGGAGACCAGGACGAGGCAAGAGAGCCAAGCATTGCAGATTTACAGGGGGAAAAAAAACCCCAAAACTGCTGACAGAGATAGAGATACATCAGTATAATCCACACTTCCCCAATTTCCACAATATCCTACAGAGGAGTGCAACTCAAAGGTATGAAAAACAAAATAATTATCTTTGGCTCTCAGCCACCAACAACAAAATAGACTTTTTGTGACACAACCATAGTTGTATAGCAGTTACCTGCAACTGACAGATCACTAGATCAGATGGTTTCTGACTCAGAGTCTAAATGAGTGAATCAGTTTTGTCTATGCTGATATTGGGCAGTCTGTGATTATTTGAACTGTCCTTAGCCTCCAGCATTTAGTCAAGTGGAATGGATGATGTAGATAACAAGGATTATCACTTTGAAGAAAATTGCCATTAAGACTCACCGGGTTTCTTATCACTCCAGTATCAATTGTCCCATATTTAATTTTTAAAATCAAAGTCTGTCCAGTGAAGACAAGAAGATGGTGCCTCACTTGGCTTCAGCTGTCTGAAGTAAACTGAGAATTCACAGGACAGTCATTAAGGCTGCTCCCTTACCTGCACCTCCCTTCACATTTTTTTTTTTTTTTAACAGATTGGTCTTTGCAAAAAACTATAGAGTTACCAGAGTTGTTTTCTGCCATGGGTGCTGAGGAATCCAACTTTCAAATACCCAGTACAGCGTGCAGATGGGCCAACAGCTCTGGAATGGCCAACTGGAAGATGTTTTCCCCCAAGGAACTAAATAATACCAGAACCATTAAAGTACTTCTCAGACTTGACTGAATATTCAATGTTCATTTGAATTTTGTTCATTGAATTTTGTTCAATGAACAAAATCCAGTGTTCATTTCAATGAGTATTTTAAAAAAATTGTGGTGAATTATAGATAATTAATGATAAAATCTATCATTTTAACCATTTTAAAGTACATCATTCAATGGCATTAAGTACACTAACATTGTTTTGCAGCCATCACCACCATCCATTTCCAGAACTTCGTAACCCAGACTGAAACTCTGTACCCACTAAACATTAACTCCCCTGTAATGTGGAGCATCATTTCATATGCTTACTTTCCATCTGAATATCTTTGGTGAGGTGTCTGTTAAGGTCTTTGGCTCATTTTTCAATCGGGTTGTTTACTTTCTTGTTGAGTTTTAAGAGTTCTTTGTATGTTTCTTACTCCCACCCCTGCCTCTGCCTCAGGTAACCACTGTTTTGATTATTTTTCACTGTGGATTAGTTTTGCCTGGACTTGAACTCGATATAAATGAATTATACAGTATGTACTCATTTGAATCTGCCTTCTCACTTCAACTGTAGCCTTGCCTAAATTTCCCATAATCATAGTACTCATTGCCCTAAAATATCCCATATTGGGTATAAATGCTCTAACACAGTGAATAATAAGTGAATATCAAAGTAAGTCCTCAGCACTTATAAATTGGCTTGATAAATGAGACCTTATGGACTCCCAGTTAAAATAGTTAATATGACCCAATGCATATTAAAACAGAGCCTTCAAGGATAAAACTTACTATATAAAACCTAATTAACGGAGGGATGATCATTCTCACGACTTCTCCATTTAACAGCCCAATTTCACCTGTTCTTAAACCTGGAATAAAATAAAGGGCATCCCAAGGTGGATTACTACCTAATGCTGGCATCCTATCCATTAAGGCCTCATACTCAATACCCAATGTTATTAAACTTACTGACTTCAGTCAACAACTATAAATATTTTGCTCTTATAGATCTGGCTAACATGTTCTGTTCAGTGCTTACTTCAGCAGACTCTCAGCTGCTGTTTGCCTTTACCTCCAAAGGGACATCATGCCTTTTCCAGGCTACCCGTGGGGTACCTGCAAAGTTTTGCTAAAGCACACAATCTTTGCAGACAAGGTCTTAACCATATCCACCTTCCTCCAGGAGCAGAGGTATGAGAGTACATTGATGACATCATCCTCCAAGGAGATTCATTTCACACACTCACCTTTCTTTAATAAGAGACAAATTCTGAGGTGTTGCTACAGAGGCCAAGAGCAGGCCAGGATTTCAGGGCCACAGGTGGCTACTGCTGTAGGAGCAGAAACTTAAAAAAAAGAAACCTTCCATTCTATAAGGAACAAAAACTCTTAATTCCTTGTTTTAACAAGTCAATGGTCCTTAGACTAGCCCCTTTATCACCTATTACCAGTTATACCTAGCCTCCAGCTAAACTAACCAGTCCCTTATCTGCCTTGATCCTATGGAGTGGGGGAGAGGAGATCAAAGGACAAATATACCATGCTTTAATATTTTTCAAAGTTTTTAGCATTGTCGCATGTGTAGTCATTCAGTCATCTGTTCATTCATTCACTTACATAATCATTCACTGACAGCTGGCAGTGCTGGGTCCAGTGCTCGGCCCTGGAGTATGAACAGTGGATGAAGCACCACTTCTCTCTCTAGGAGCTCAGTTACCATTTGAAGGCTCTGCTCAAAAGAGGCAATGAAAAGGAAAGATGCTAGTTGTTTTTCCTCAGTTTTTAGTTTTATCCAAGTTATAACTTAAAAAGTCAAATTCTTCTATACATTTCTGCTTCTATCTAGTCATGACAGAGTAATGGGCACTGGACTTGCTATCCCACTGAAAACAAGGAGAAAATGGGACAAAATATATGAGACAACTTTTTCAGGCACTGAGGACAGGCAGAGCAGAATCACAGCCTCTGAGGCAGGAACCACAGGTAGGTGAGCGTGTGGCAATTTTGCTTCTGTTGCACAGAGAGGTAAGTCCCAAGTAGAGAGAGGTGAGATAGGTGGTTTTCCTGAGCTGAGAAGGCACAGACTCAAGTTCCAGGTAGCCAAAGCAGCTGTAATTTGTGGGGCGGGCTACTTAAGAGGAGGCTTCTACCCAACAGGGTGGGAGAAGAGGCCTGAGTGGGGGGTGCAGGGTAAGAAGTAGGGGTGGGGTTAAGACCTTCAGGAAAGCCACACCTTAGTATACAGACCACACCCTAGAGTAAGGGCCCTGCCCTAAAACTAAGTTCATAATGAAAATAGAACCGCCCAAACAATAAAACCAAAACCAACAAGATCAAAAGAATTTCCTAGGAATCTAAATGACTGTTGGGATAAAATGAAACACTCTTTAATAGAAGATGTCATAATCAAAATTCATTACAATGTTATCCCACACAATATGCAGCATAAAATCTTAAACACTGAGGTGTATACATATAATAAAATACTTGGTACGCTGAATGACTGAACTGCTGTCATATGCAACACAGGTGAATCTAAAAGACATTGTCTGAGGCCAGACTCAGTGAGTACACACCGTATAATTCAGTTATATAAAGTTCAAGTGCAGGCAAAACTAATCTACAGTAAAAAAGTGAAATAAAATTATCAAAACAGTGTTTACCTGAGGCAGAGACAGGGGTGGGACTAAGAATTGACTGCAAGGAGACATGGGAAACTCTCAGGAATGATGAAAGTGTTCTATCCCTTCCTTTGAGTGGTAGTTACATGGGAGTTTACCTTTGTTAAAACTCATCAAACTGTTCACTTAAAAACTGCATTTTATTGTATGTGAATTACATCTCAAAAATTGATTTAAATTTAAAGAGAAAAAAACAGCAAAGAAAAATATAGAACAATGTTTTATATAGCAACACTGAGTTTTTCATGCAAGTCAGAGAGGAATTTTTTACTTAGAAAAAACAGGTACATTTACTGAAGTCTTTATAAGTTGATTTACACTGCCTTGAAAGAAGTGATTGTTAAATTTTAGGAACTTTGGAAGCTAGCTGTTAAACTATTGCTAGCTCAAAATTGGCCATGGTAGAAGTCTTTACAACACATTACAAATCAGGCCTCCCCAAATCCACTCCCACCCCAAGAGCTGGTTTATTAGCACACGACTGGATTTATGATTTATATTAAAATAAAGATCTGCTTTGCATGTCATGTCTAGAGTTATGGTCAATAAACAAAGCAAACTTTCCAAAATATAGTTCTACAAAGATTACTTGTAATAATGGAGACTATCAATACCTCCTTCCCTGCTCCCCTTTTCATCTTATCACCACTACTCCCAAGCAATGATTTCAACTCTTTTGGCTGTTTACTTTTGGATTTGCCTTCATGTCACTAAATGATACACTCATGCTGCTACTTATTTTTTCAGTTTTGGCATTATCTACTGATTTCCCAATATGGAAGATATGAATTTAGTCTTCTTTTCCACAAAACACCTGCCACCATCAAAAACACATTTCACACCACTCCCATCCTTGCAACATTGTGTTATACTTTCAGTTAGATCAATATTCAGTATTTACACTAATATGGTTATGAAAATATCCACAGCTGATCTGTCTAGTATTATGATTAGTATTACTTTTCCTTCCTTGCACAACTTTTTGTTTTCCCTGGAGTTAGTGATATCCTTGCGGTTTGCTTCTTTCATTTGCTTAGTTTTCTATGCACTTATCACTGATTTATACCAAAAAATTTATCCCAATTGTTTAAAACTTCTCTCAATAGTTCCAACATATCAGGTATTCTAGCAATTTAATCTTCTTGGAAACATCTCTCTGGAGGCTGCTCTCATTTGGATTGACTGCTCTCTAGGCTGGTACATAGTTATGATTCCGGAATTTACCTTCCCCATATCTGTGAGATTCTCATCACCTCTCTTGTGAATTGTTAAACCAACTGTTGGATTGTTCATCCAAGTATCGCTGTTGTTGTTCCTTAAGTACAAGGACCATATCTTAGTCACCTATGCCACAACTATCATGATATCCTGATTAGTAGGTGCTAATTTTTCGCTTTAAAATATAGGGAGAGATAGTCAAACTGACTGTATGTAAAGGATAAGAAGGTTATACTTATTTGGACATTTTAATTTAGAGTTGACAAAAGCACCGAGAATATGTCTCTACTAATATAATTTATAAAATATTTTGAGAAAGAGGAAAGTAACTCAAAGCAAATCCGTTTGTGTAAGAAACATGCTATATGAGTAGATACTATGTGTCAGGCATTGTCTGAGGCACTGGGGAGATTGCAGTGAACAAGAGACCAAAATCCCCTACACTCTAGTCAGAATGATAGATGGTGAATATGACAGAATTCATAAATAAGTAAAATACATCAGATAAGTGCTAAGAGACAAATAAAGCAGAAAAGAAAGACAGGAAGTATCAGGGAGCCTACACCAGGGCAGTAGCCATGGTGTAATGAGGAGAGGTTCCAGATTCTGCATATATTTTGAAGGTACAAACAACAGGATTTGCTGATGGATTGGACACATGAAGTACTGTAAAATATTCAACTATTAGGATATTCTTGGAGTCAACAGACATTCAGCCCAATTTCCCTTCATCAACAGCACTGCACTAGGAAATACTCCAATCACTTAATTCATGAAACAACATGAATTCTGACATCATGAATTCTATAGATGTTAAATGATAAGGAGATAGGAATTTTTAAGTAAAGCTTTAAAGGAAACACATACCTGGTGATAAAGCTGATTGGCAGGTCAATTACCAAAGATCCTAAGTAGAATGACTTCACTTTATTTGATGGACCAATAATTCATGAATGAATATTTGAAGACTAAAGACAAAGACTAAATAATCAAGATTAACACACCCAGAAGTTATATAAATAATCAACAACTTAAACTAACATCAACTTTTCATGTGGTCTCAGGGTGAAAGTCTGTTACTTATATTTTTTAATTCAAAAATAAAGAAAATGTGTTGATTAACCAATAAGGCTCTTTTAAGTTTAGCAAAAGTAAAAACAGTACTGTAATGTTACTGAAATTTCACTTTTATGTCCCTTAAACTTTATATTTTCTCAAGGGTACATGTGACACTAATTTGAAAATAAGCATCAAATACATGGTATTTGAAAATTATGTATGGAGCAATTGGAAAATATATAGAGAGAGAAATTTTAAATTTATACTTACATAAATGGGGAAGGAAGGAGGGAAGAAGGAAAGGGAGGAAGGGTCACTCTTACAATTTTATCATCTTGTTCAAGGTGGTACCAGAGAAATCCAGCAGATGGCACTCATACATTTTTCTAAATATGATGCTGAATTAAAAACAGAATTGTTTAAACTTTGTATTTCAGACAAGAAAGACCGAATAAATCACAGTTGAAAGCAAACACATTTCAAAATTTTCTATTATCATGGAGAAATAATGCTTTTAAGCTACTCTAATGCACATTCATGGCTTGCAAGCAACTTACAATTTTCACTTCCTATTCTAGCAGCTGGTGGAAAGTAAGCATTCATAATCATTACCTGCCAATCAACAGCTTGATAATAGAAAGCTGTAAGTTGCCATTGAGAGACTCACAAACTTTTCCCATGATGGAATATGGGATCATTATTTTCTTCCAGTCTCTTTTCAATGCTTTTATTGGTTATTCTATATAGATGGGTTCTGAAATTAGGAAACATTATTACTACCATTTTAACTAAGTAAACAGAGGCTCAGAAAGAGTAAGAAAATTAGGGGATATGGTAACTCAACCAAGAAAGAGAATCAAAAATAAATGAACCCAGTTTCTTTAACTGGATAATCAATAAATCCTCAATTAATAAATATGGGTTAAATGAACAAGTTAATTCAAGTCATACTTCAACGCACATTTACTGAACACTTCCTGTATGCTGACACTGTTCCAGGCTCTGAAAAAAAGTGGTGCGTAAGACAAATAATATCCCTGCTCTCATGGGACTTGTGGTTTAGTAGTGATAAATAGAAACAAACAAACAAGAAAGAGATCAGAAATCACAAATAGTATGAAGAGGATTAAACTAGAGTGTGTGATAATGTGATGATGTGAATACTTACTGACTGTTTAAAGGAAGGCTTCTCCTAGGAGGTGACATTTCAGCTGACACCTGGACTACAGGAACAGACAGCCATACAAAGATCAGGAGGAGAAGCGTCCCAGGCAGAGGGAACACAGCTTCCAAAATGATCCCAAGGCCACAGTGAGTCGGGCCTATTTGGGAGCAGAAAGAACGGCAGTGCGGCTAGAGAGGAATGTGCAAGGAGGAGAGTGTATGGCGTGAGTTCCAAGAGGTAGCTAGGAGCCAGGATGAATGGATGCAAGAATGGATGGAAGGAACAACACATAGGGAAAAGAAAGAAATAAGAAGAGTGCTACTTTTAGGTTAATCAGAGATTCTTTTACACGTTGATCTTTCTGGAAGTTCTCCATTAGTCCATATTCCTGCCTTAGCAGGTACTGAAAAAATGAATATAACTCTTATTATTTGATATTTTAAGAAGATGCCATCCCTCAGGTTACCACCTTAAATTATCAATGACCACAGGGTAGCACTGAAAAAAAAAATCTGCAGAAAATGTAAAGTAGGGTGAGTAGGTATTAATTTCAAGAGATACCCAGAAGGTGAATTTTCAATAGTACTTGATTTGAGTCTGTTTTGTACTGATTTGCCTCTTTCTTCTCATGGAGTGTAAAGGATATTCTTAATTAATTCAAGATTCATTCACTGATTCTGATTAATCCATGTTTTCTGGTACCAAAAGAGTGATTTAAATAATTCTCAAATTTCTCTTATCTTCTAATATTTACCTGCTGTGTAAAAGTTTATTGTAAGCATATTTTCAAAAGCAATGTATTTCTAAGATTTTTGGAACTGAAGCCCAAGCAATTAAACAGTAAATAAAGAGGCCCACTGCCCTCTGTGACCTCACACGAACCAGATCATTAATCAAAATCTCAGTTCCTCCTGAAAAAATCTGGGATATATGCTTGGTCTCCAACTAGAATCTCAATAGAGATCTTTGATTTTATTGGATAAAAATATTTTTATAAATATAACCTTCATTTTATAAATTTTAATTGGCACCAGATTTTAGAGGTGACATTACACTGACTCTATGATTGCTCTCATATCACCCATGCCCAACCAGGAGCTTCTTTGTCTAAAGTCATGAAAGCTGCCAACATCATGTCATGGTGGTTTGAATTTACACCTTCTCTCAGCAATCACAAAGCCCTATCCAGAAATATTTATTAGTAATTGTATTTGTATCTATTAAACGTAGATTGAGAGGATTTTATTTTAACAAGATTTTATTTACCAACTAATTAGAATGACAATTTATTACAAGTATGACAATAATTAACTTAGAATTAACAGAATAGTACAGCTTTTCTGGTTGTAAGAAAAAAATAAAATCATTTTTCTCCCCCACTATGGGCCTCATTTTGCACAGCTACTTATATCAGTCATTGTTATTAATTTCACATTTTTATTTACTCTTTATTTTCCTAGACATTTGAATTCTGCTGCTGTCAATTTCACAAAGGTCTTTTAAAGATAAATTCGCTATGTACCAAAAGTAGTTGTTTAAATGAGCATTCGGTTCTGACAGCTTTGCTCTTGATACTTTTCACAGCAGCAGCTACGAGAGCATTTTACCATCAGTCATGGTTTTCTTTGTTATGCTTTCTTTTTTTCCTCCAATCAAAGTAAATATGTTCTTACAAACAGCATTACCCTAAAAAATTTTCCTCATGTTTAACGAATGTGACCCTCAGTACAATGAATAACAACAAAGCAATGAAATCCCGATTTTCCCTAAGAGACAAGACAGTTATCACATTATTTCATTCATATATTAGTCAATGCTGTCTCAGTATCATTCTTTTGTCAAATGTCAAGTTAATAAGAAAATAAAGCTTCTTCACTGGTATGATGATTTTATCGTTAACAGGCCAAGCAAAAACTTATTTAAACTTGAAAATACAATGTTTAGAAAGCACAAATGCAACTAATTATTCATTTCCTACCTCCAACATTTTCAAAGATAACTTCATTCTTCCCATTCTTCCATAAAAAGAAAAATCTGTTGTCTTAAAAACTCCAAGACCTAATCCCTGCTTCAGGCTAATGACAAAAAATATTTTTCATTTTTAGTTCACATCTTGAAAAAAATTCCCTTGACAGAAAATGCTCTGAACTAGACTCTGAAAGGCAAATGTATTTGCTTCATTTAAGTTTTCCAGGATGACAAAGGAGAGAAGAGGAGTCAAGAAGAAACATGAAAGTTGAACTAAAATAATCTGCTTCAAATATTAAAATATTTTTTAGTAGAATGAACTTTAAATATCAAATTTCATACTATAAATAAATATTTGAATGACAGAACACCTTACCCTTCTACATCCAGGGTTAAAAACGATATCATATTTATTTCTAATCATGTCACTGAACTGCTACTGTTTTCTGGACTGCAAATAAATGACATATTCATAACAATGTGACACAGTTATGTATGATTGATTGGTATGAAATAGAAAGGGACTTTGTCCTCAGCATAGATTAGAACAGGCCTGTCTAGCGCATGCTGTCTGTATATCTGCAGCTACTGACTGCCCTTCTGGTAAAAGACTCAATAGATTTTTCTTAGCATAATGTCTACTCTACAATAAATTACCAAATCTCAATTGACTCTGTTTTAGAGTCGTTTCTAGATTCCAATTCATTACAATACAATGACTTCAAACTTATCTTGGACTTTAAGAATCTCATCATGGTTTTACACGTTTCAAGAGAAAAAAGATAGGCAGACAATGTGCTCCTCAATTTTTGTTTCTTTTACAGAAGAAAACACTACTATTGATAAAACAATGAGTACTTTAGAAATCTTCCTGACTGTACACACTTTAAAACTTTTCCTTTTCTTTGCTTTTTCCTCCCATTTCAATAATGAGGCCAGGGAATAAAGAAAGGAATTTCCAGTCCAGTGGTCATGCTCTACATCCTATCATTTTGTTGCTGTCTTTCCCCTAGCCAAATAGCTCCATTAATCAGCAGGAAAAACATGCAGCAAACTCTCTATACATCCTAGTATTATCCCCAGTGGAAGGCTGATAATTAGGAAGTTGCTTCTGAAAGAACTTCCATTAGAGTAAAGAACTGTGGTGGCATGCCAGGAAGCTCAGAGATGTATCAGTGTTACTCTGGGTTAGTTAGGCTTTGGTTATAACTAAGTATAGGGAAAAGTTAGTGAATTTATTTAATGAATGAGCAGTAATTTAAAATTTGCCTTTTTATATAGCCAAAGTCTTTACTTCCAGAGTAAAGTCAGTCTAAGACGCACTTTTACTTAGATAATTTCAGTTATTTTTCCTACTTAAGAGTTGTATGAATTACGAATTCTTAAAACAACTAAAAGCAGACCTAATCTGCTGGTATACTGACAGTGTAGGTCGTACAGTGCCGTTTCTATTGGTTGTTGTATTTCCTTTTTTCAGTGAACTTGTGCCTTTGATTACATTGATTCTAACAGTCCCAGTTATTTTGGTTGGTATTTCATGGGCAGTGCACTGTATTACTCTACCATGCAGTGCCAAAACAATCATTCGATTGTTTGAAAAAAAATAGTTTAAATCTTAAAATATGCATTTTAAGCATTTTGAAATAATGAAAATACGTTATGAACCTCCCATTTTGTCTCAAATTCAATTCATATGAATTCTGATTCATTACTGAATATTAATCTAGATATTTTATATGATGTGAAGACATGACAAGACTGTTATATCAGTAAAAGTTTATTCTGCATATATGCCATTGTGTGTTAGTTGTGCAAATAACTGGCAGATCTCTAATTCACATTGATATTTTAGCTACAAAACCAATAATGAACAAAAATTACTGTGAAAAAGGCTTTACATGTAAACTTAGCCTGCATATTGATGATGTGATACACATTTAATAATAAATATTCAGAAGACTTAGAACTTAGAATGTGGTTAGATAAATGGACTAAAATAAGACAGAACTGAAGTCAAGTCTAATTCCAGTAACCATTTCCCACTCTGCATTTGCATATAAAACAGACTGCAATTCTCTGGTACCATTCATTTTTTTCTTCTTAAGCAAAAGTAATTTACTCTTAAATATTTAAAGAATCAAAATAAAAATAACTTTTGAAAATACAAATTATTTAAACAGATGGCAATTGGTACACATCTCAAAGGAGAGTTTTAACTTTGCTACTTTTTAAAAAAATAAGGATGTAAAGCAACCTATACAAAAAGCTATGCCCTAATAAGACTTGATTTGAAACAAGACTACCTTAACATTAATAGATCTAAGGCATTTGTAAACATCTCATATTTGATATTAAACTAATTCAACTAGAATCATAAAAGAAAACATTTGCACTCAGAACTTTAAGTTATATCCTTAAAGTAGCTTTTGTTCCCCTCCCCCGCCTACCACAATTTAGGGCCTTGTTGAATAGTTTCAATATACTTTTTTAAGAAACGTGAAAATACACCTTTCTTCCTAGTTAGGACTGCTAACAGCAGAAAGAGATGTGATGTTGGAAATTTGGTGGCAATATCATGATTGATCCAAACATAAGTACACTGTTTTCAGTTGCAATATTTTAGGCCACCAGCAAAAATGAATCCTGATGGCCGTAAGGAGACTATGTACCTCCCCGAGTAGATGACTTATTTCATTCTAACCAACACTGGCATTAGGAAGAAAACTGGCAGGCACAAAGTGCTGGAAAGTGGCTGCAGGTGTCCCAGACTTAAATCTGTAGACACATTTAGAGAAAAGTGGAGAAAACTGGCTGCTGTAGATGAAAGGCCTCAGAAGGCCTCTGTCAAAAGACATCTTATGATTACAGAAGGATTAAAATGAAAGTAAGCATCTTTGTTGGTGCAAATGGCACTGACAAAATTGGGTCAATAATCTGAGCTTTTCTTCCTACACTTGATTGGATCTGAGGTAGACTGCAACAAAGAATGAACAACATCAGAAAGTACAGATCAGCTTAAGGGTCAGGGGGGGAATAACGAGCCTGAGAACACAATATCTGTTTCTCCTTTTTTCTTCCTTTAGAAATAAAATCAAACCACATAAAAGCCCTTAAGTTTCAGCAGGTAACAAGACCAAAAAATTACTTTTTTTAAGTGCTAATATATCAATTCTAGATATCAACAACTTTGAACATTTTAAACCTCACATTTTCCGCAAGAAATGGGTATCATTCATGTATCTACCACAAAGATTTGATACTAAGATGCTTGATCAAATCTTAGAGAGCTGATCACTTCTCTACAAGTTATTAGTTTCCTGAAGATCTTTCTGTGCCAATGTCTGAAATGAAAACATACAATTATTCATGAGAGAAATGAAATTCTTAATAAAAGAATTATATAAAATTCATGTAAATTTAGCACAACAATAACTGGGCATTTCTAAATTTTACTATTGAAAGTTTTTCTAAATATATAAATCCTATAAAATATAAATCCTAACATACCTATTGGATAATCTTAAATAAGAAAATATTTCCAGAAAATAAATATGGAAGAAAATGTAGTGTATTAAATTAAAACTATATTTTAACATACTTTAAAGCTAGCTATATATGTCTTCTATTAAAATAGAGCATGACAAATACTGTGTTCATTTTATAAACAACCAAAGTTAGAGGTTAAAAGCAATCTGAAGTGCTCCCACACTATCTGAAAATAAGTTTCCAATAATTGAATCCAAAGTTCTGGAAATCATAAAAATTTGTAATAAGAAAGTTTTAGGATCAAATATAATCAAAGTATAATTTATGCCTATCAAAAGCTTTTAAGCATTATGATAGTTAAACTTCTTCAGTGCATTAATCCTCTAATAACAGTTTCAGTCAAGGGGATGTTGTGAGGTCAGGTTTGAATTTTTTTTAACTTAGTTTGAAATTGTACATATTCTCTTTATATATTGATATAACTTGCCTTATGCAGCATCTAATTCTCCAAGACTCAAAACATTTCACAGATTTATATCATGACCTTAGTTTTGTTTGTTGTTGCTGTTTTGGTTTTTATTTATTTATTTATTTTTGGCTGCGTTGGGTCTTTGTTGCTGTGCATGGGCTTTCTCTAGTTGTGGCGAGCGGGGGCTACTCTTCCTTGCGGTGAGTGAGCTTCTCATTGCTGTGGCTTCTCTTGTTGCAGAGCATGGGCTCTAGGTGCACAAGCTTTAGTAGTTATGGCACGTGGCCTCCTAGAGCGCAGGCTCAGTAGTTGTGGCGCACGGGCTTAGCTGGTCCGCGGAATGGGGGAATCTTCCCAGACCAGGGCTCAAACCCGTGTCCCCTGCATTGGCAGGTGGAGTCTTAACCACTGCGCCACCAGGGAAGCCCTGTTTTGTTCTTTTGTATCTAGTGCAAATCCATGTGAAGGGCACAATACTAATTCAGTGAGATGTATTCCAGTAAAACCATTCTTACCAGTAAGTAAAAACAAGTGCTGAACAAAAGTTAAACAATCAATTATGGCTTACCAACTGCAAAAATTCTATTTCTGTTTGGAGAGCATCATAAACACTTTGCATGTCATCTTCCTTATAAAGTTCTAATTCTTTTTTAAGTCTGTTTTAAAGGAAAAATTCACTCTATTAATTAGTTCATTAGTAAACTTTTATAATAATTCTTTATTACATGAATAGTGCCAGATTTGCAGCTTCTATTATCGGAATTTCAAGTTAACACTAAAGAATTTGGAAAGAAATTTTAATTCTCTATAATTCTGTAAGGAACCAGCCATTAAAATTAGTCTAGGAAAGATAATTGGAGGAACAAGAATTTGAAAGAAGAAATAAAGCTATCTCGTTTTTCAGGTAATTTGAAAACATACTTGGAAAACCCATGAATCAGTGATAAAACCAACTCAAACAATAAAATAATTCAGTAGGGTGAAAAGATACAAATTTAGCAAACAAAAATAAGTAGGCTTCATTGTCACCAGCAATAATTAACTTGACTTTTTCATGGATAGGACATCATAAAAATGTTAACTATCCCCAGTTAAATAAAACTTAATTTGACCCTAATAAAAATACTAACACTTTTTTCCGCTGGTGCTAGGCGAATTTGATTCTAAAGTTCATATGAAAAAAGAAAAAGAACATTCTAGAAAAGCCCTTGAATTTTTTTTTTTCCAAGAAAACCCTGAAAAAAGAGAAAACAAAGAAAGGTGACTAGCCCTGTGAGATAGTAAATCATATCATTAATCCTTTATAATTAAAAGAGTGCAGTAGTGGCATATAAATAGAGCAGTGGAACACAGAAGACAGAAATAGCTTAAAAGGGACAAGTGGACATTTAGCATATGCTAAAGGAGCTTCCTCAAACCACTGTAAAAGACTGACTTTTTAATAAGCTGTGCTAGAAAAACCGGATAGCTATGTGCTATGTGGCTATAGATGGATTGTCAAAGCTAAAATTGGCTCTGTATCTCATAGCATACACCAAAATATACTCTAACTGGATCAAAGATTTAAGTGTAAAAAATGAAACTATCTAAGGACAAAGTGAAAGAATAGGGAAATTCCTTTATAAGCTGGTTGTGGCCAAGAACTTTCTCACTATGGCTCAAAATATAAATGAAAAAGGAGTACTCAATTCAATTACATTTAAAAAATTGCATAGCAAAACACATGAGTAAAGTCAAAAGATGACAATCTGAGAGAAAATACTTGCCACATACACCACAGATAAAAGTGTAATGTCTCTAATATGTAAAGGGACTTTATAATTAAGGGGAAAAAAGACCAAAACTCTGATTAAAAAATGGGGGAAAGTCATAAACAGTCACTTCACAGAAAAAAGTATAAAAATCATCCCTAAACATTTGAAAAGTGCTTAATATTACTCATGATAAAAATATGGTTAATTTCACTCATAATAAAGACTTGAAAATTTACTACACAGGTATATAATTTCTCATCTATCAGATTGGTAAAACTCCAAAAACTTGATAACACACTTTCTTCATAAGGTTGTGGATAAACAGCTGTACTCAGACATTGATGGGGGAATTTAAAATGATTAAACTTCAAAGGAGGAGAATTTGGCAGTATATAACAAAACTACATTTATATTTTCCTTTTGACTTTGCCATTCCACATCAGTAATACACCCTATAAAAACAAACAACATATGCACAAAGTTGTTGTTGCATTATTATTTGTAATCACAAAATACTGTCAACAACCTGTGTCCATTCTTATGAGACTGATTGAATAAACTACAGCACATCCATATAATGGAGTATTATACAGTATAAAAAGAATGAAGATAAAGATGAAAAGAAACACAGAAAGGATAAACCAGTAACTAGTGAAATGGTCACCTACAGCAGTGAGTGAAAATGGGGTGGAATAGATATGGAATGAAATGAAACTCATCTGGGTATATCTTTTTTATATACTCCTGACTTTTGAACCTTGATGATTATTTACATATTTGACAAATAAAATTAAATAAATAAAGTTGAGGAAAAGACCATGAAGTTTAACACAAAATAACAGTTGAGTTAAACACAAACAGAAACAAATAAACCTGTTTTTCAAATTTATGATCACAGATTAAAAAAAAAAGAATTCAAGTAATTTTCAAACATAGTAGTCTATAACCCTCAGTGGGATATGTTGTAAGGCAATAAGAATTATAAAGGAATCTTAAATTTTATTTACTACTTTTATTGTTAGTGAAGGTACACAGCTAGTAATTCTAAAATTATTTTACAAGATTGTAAGAAATGGATAATTACATTGATGTTGTTAAGAACCAGAGTTTTCACTAGAAGAAAGAAGATATACATAGAAAATGGAGGGAAGAGGAGAAAAAAAACCTGTCATTTTGGATGTGAATGGAAGGGATCAGTATAAAAAAAATCATGATTTAAAAAAATGGTATTTTTATTTCTGTCCGTTTAAAGTATTCAGAAGCAATGACACCCAGTAGTAATGAGCACATCTAGCATGCTAATCTTAGCTTCTAAAACCAGTACCAACTAAAAGATACCAGGACTCCTTGAAATAATTGGTCCCAGGGCTGAGGTAGGTATTATAATATACAAGATGAGCCTAGAATATTCTGTTGCACAAGAAGGAAGGAAAGTGACCAAAAACTGATGGGAAAATGTCAAAAGACACAAAAATTTAGTTCAAGCAACTGCCTCTAGCCAAATCTGGGACAATTTGAGCATCAAAAATAGTGACAATAATGTATTATAACACATGAAATAAAAAAGAAATCCATGAATCCATAGAAAATCTTAAAAAGGAGAAATTAAAAGGATGGGGTAAGAGGAAGGGGAACTTCTGTCTTTTTTCCCCCAGAATTTTACTAGCTAATAAAACACCATCAATGTGACATCTATGACTAACTTAACTGGATGACCTTTTCACTGAAGAGGCAACAGCACTGATTTACTACTTCATATAAATGCATTTAGAGTCTCTCAGTAGCAGGTATATATTAACTTTTGTGCTGTTTCCATTGCAAACATGCTGTTCACAAAACCACTCTATCTTCAAATGTTCAGAAAGAAAATCCCATGCTATTGACTTTGTAGCTTCATTTCTGAAACAAACTTCCTGCTGTATTAAACAAGCATAAACATTGGTTATAAAAAGTGTAAAACCATTCTAAGAAGAAGTGCTGTAGGTAAAAAAATGCCTGAAATGTTTCAAGTTGTCTGGTATGTTACTATTGCAGTAAATAAAAAGTCATGATGAAGAACTGTATTTTGGTGACCCTGGTGTTGAGTAATAATAAAAAATAATAGGTGTTGGGAGTTTGAAGTGGTCCAGTATATACTGCTATTCTTGCCCACCTGAATTCTGCCCATCTGAGAAGTAAGGAAGGTCAAGATGTCAAGTTTGCTACTCATATAGCAGTGACTGGAGAATGTGGCTTATATCTGCATGCAAAGGATTTACTAACACTGAACACCAGAATTAGACTAATGTAACTCACACCAGTAGAGACAGAATTGGATGCCACAAGCTTTCTTTCATGGAGTCCTATCACTGTAAAACTTAAGGGATAGAGGAGCAGAGTGGAACATACACTCTGAGGCAGGCCATACTCCAGAGAGATAAGGAAAAGAAAGCTGGGCTTCGGTTTATCCTTCCAAACTCACCAATCAGACTGAATCACTCCTCTCCACCACAGAATAAGAAAGAAGGAGTTCTGGGGGGGACAACAAGGAGGGTTAAACCAGTAAAGCTTTTTCTTCATGGAAGAAAAAAACCAGGAGTGGAAAGAAGAATTCCATGGGGCTATCTCAGGGGTTAATATATACCATGTCTTTGCAAATAACACTGAAAATAGATGAGGAACTTTTATCTTCTTTGTAGTAAAAATAAAATATGTAGACTCAATCACTGGAACAAATATTTATTAAACACTAAGTACCCTGGACTATGTTAGATTCAGACACTGATAGAAAAATGAAGAAGTAGTAGAGGGAGTTCCCAGTTAAGTGGGAGAAACTGATACACATAAATATCATAGAATATGATCAATGATATAACAGAATTATAAACATATTCTCTATGAACACAGAGAAAGGAATGGTAGAGGAATGCTTTCATAATTTATTATGTTTATTCCTTCATTTATTTATTCAATACCTACTATATGCCAACCTCTGTACCAAGGTATTAGACCATGAGTATACAATGGTAAACAAAGTAGACAAGATCTTTCCCCTAACTGAGCACATGATGACATAGACATAAATAAAATAAATCACATAAATATGTAATTACAAAATGGAATCTGTGCTATCAAGGAAAAAATACAGTGCGTTATTAGGAAAAACAACAGGTTATAAAATTTAGATCACAGGGATCCTTCTCTGAGGAAACATTTCAACTGAGATCTAAAGGATAGGGCATGTCCCATCAGGTAGGAGACAAGCAGGCAAGGGGCAAACAGATAACTTGAGGAGAAAGAAAGGCATAGATAAAGGTCTTAGGTGGAAGAAAGCTCGGAGTGCTTTAAGGAGCAGAGTGAGAAGGGGACCATGGTTGAAAATAACATCAGGGAGGTGGTCATATACCATATTGTGACGAGTCATGGACTTTAGGTTTTATTATGTTCATTATGAAGCCATTGATGATTTTAATAAGGGGACTGACACGATTCAATTTATAATGCAATGAAGGTTGCAAGAGTGGATGACGGGAAAGCAGAGAGAGATTGTTACTGTGATCCAGGTGAGAGAGAGTAGTGGCTGGAACTAGGATGGTGGCCATGGAGAGAGAAGTGGAAGGATTCAAGAAATATTTTGGAGGTAAAAGCAACAAAACTTGGTGATGGACAGGGGTAGGGTGAGAATGATGAGATTTCTGAACACACCAAACATGACTGCTACATTTTGGGTTTACTCAGGAAAAATTACATGTGAGCTAGGCCTTGAAGACTAAATCAGATTTTTAACTAATAGAGAAAAAAGAGAAAGATACAGAGGTGTGAAGTCCTGTGGCATATTTGGAATTCCACAAATAGTATTCTGATGTGCTAGTAGAATAGAGTTTGTGATAGAAATGCAGGGAGATAGCACAGATTATGTTTTTGTTTGTTTAATCAGGGCAGCATCACTTCAGATCTATTTCTATGTTTATATTAAATTCTTGGGAATTCAGAACTGGAGCTTAGGAAGGAGGGACTAGTGACAAAGATTTGGAAATTATCTATGGATGATAACTAAAACTTTAGACCAGATTAGATAGCCCATAGAGAGTACAAAGTAAGAAAACAATCAATGACTAACCTTTAGGGAGACTCTGCACTTAAAGGACAGGCAGGAGAAAAAAATGAGAAAGAAGCCTGAAAGGCATGAAATTCACATGGATAATATGAAATAAAAATGAAATCATAAGTAATTATACAATTATAATTATGTCTAATAATTATAGAGCATTTACTGTGTACCAAGCACTGTTGTAAGGGCTTTATATATATTAAGACATTTAATTTTTGCTATAGTCTTGTGAGGTAGGGCCATTATTAACCTCATTTTATAGATGTAGGGAATGAGGCATAGACAAGTTAAATTGCTTGTCCAAGGTCACTAACCTAGTAAATAGCAGAGGTGGGATTCAAAGGTGTTTGTAATCTTAACCTCTATGCTTACTGCCTCTCGAGACCCTGAGATTTCTATCCTCCCTGGACTCCGTGAAAAAACTAGCTTGGTATGTTATACAACCCTCAGGGACGCTTCTTAGAAATTAACAGAACCTCTGGTTTAGGTATTAATCATAGCAATATTCTATAATTTAGTTGCTTTAACATGTGTTAATTAATGAGCCCACACTCTTCACATTAGAATCTTTTAAATAAACAAACATCTTGTAATTTATAAATAGGGGAAGATTACTTAAAGCAGAGACCATTAAACTGTTGTGAATTTAAAGTACTGGTTCTCAAATGTAAAATAGCTAGCTAGTGGGAAGCAGCCGCATAGCACAGGGAGATCAGCTCCGTGCTCTGTGACCACCTAGAGGAGTGGGACAGAGAGTGTGGGAGGGAGATATAAGAGGGAGGAGATATGGTGATATATGTATATGTATAGCTGATTCACTTTGTTATAAAGGAGAAACTAACACACCATTGTAAAGCAGTTATACTCTAATATAAAGGTGTTAAAAAAATAAAGTACTAGTTCTCTCCATTAATGGATGGCATTAAGTTAGAGTCCAACACGCAACCTGGACATGACAGATTAACTTTATAAAAACATAATCATTACCAAAGAATTTCAATAATATAGACAGAATAAAATATGCATCAAAATTTTCTAATTACAAAAAGTAGAAACAATAAGTTCATAGAGATGAAGTTTTAATTTTTTGTAATTAATTTTTTGTAACCCAGTAATTGCTTTCTTACTGGTTAAAGTTTAATAAAAGTAGAAGTACAATTTTAATAACTTTAAAATAAAACTGGTTCTGAACTGGGGACAATTTTGCCCACCCGTCTCTGCCCAGGCGGCACTGAGCAATATCTGGAGTCATTTTTGGTTTGTCACAACTGGGGGTGGGTGGCGCTACTGGCATCTAGTTGGTAGAGGCCAGGAATGCTAATAAACATCTTACCCTGCATAGGACAGCTCTCCCACAACAAAGAATATCCTGACCCAAAATCTCAACAGTGCCAAGACTGAGAAACCCTGCTATAAAAATAGCATCTATACCAAGAGTAGTTAAACTTGAAAATTTAAGATAAAGGCAATTACTATAGAATTCAGTATACATTTGAACACACAGATGAAAAAGATTATTCTATTCCAAAATTTAGGAATAAAACCAACTTAATTTTGGCCTTAATGATGTTCAGTAAATGTCATATCATTTTTTGCCATCATTAGCTCCTTGTTATTGCGCTAATTATAAGACTGATGGCCCTCTTTTCTAAAATCTTTACACTATTTTGACTCTGCTCTTCACACTTGAAATAACTTTTATGGAACATACCAGAAGGGAAACTAAGCTACACATATTAAAGAATTTAAAGTGGGAATTGATAAATATTGGCATTTCATTCAATAACTGCTAAGATGCAAAGAACGGACTAGGTATATTGATTGATGTTTCTTTCTATCCAAATTTCTTTTGTCACCATCTGTGAAGGAAAAGCTCTCTCTAACAAACTTTGTGTGCTTAATTTTAATCCAGGGCAAATTTTTATGACTGAGTGATAAACAAAACTGGAGTTCATATTGGAAGCCCCTTTACTACTAACTATAATGATACTAGTGGGCATTACCATTTTTAGAAGTGTAAAAAAAATCAATGAAAAAAAAAAATCAATGAGCAGACTGTCATTACAGAAACTCATTCTGCATCAAACATATCACCCAAGAGATTGATATTTCATGCTTATAAAACTTAACATAAAATTAAATTACAGATATTTTCTCACAATCTACTAAAATTATGGCCTAAGGCAATACACTGCTAATATGAAGCATTTGTTCAGCTCTAGTGGACTTATTTCCTATATGATTTATGTGAAAGAAGTCTTCATTTGCCTCTTCGTAGATCTGGCAATGAGGTTTCTGTTTCTTACATTAAATGTAGAAAGTATAGGAAGTTCTTTAAAATTAAGCCAGCAAATATAACACTGAATTATTAATAAATAACAGTGAAATTAATAAACTGGGGGGGTGCTCCTTTGGTATATAATTATGTCATTTCAAACCTCAGCCATTCTTTCATTATCCAAATGCATTAAAAAAATCTAAATATTCCATACAGAAAATACATTTTCAATCTTTAGGCCCCAAACCAGAGTGACAGATTTCAAGTAAAACAGTAGACTGTGTTTTTTTCCCCTGAAATCTAGAAGGACCAAAAATAATTTCAATCATTTCACTCCAGAAAGTTAGGGATAATAAAAAAGAGAGTTGTGGAAACAATACTATATCTTAATCTGTTAGGATATGAATAACTCTGAGACCATGAGGTATATGAAAAGATAAAATTGATTTCAACCTTATCAACCTGATGCATCGTGAAACTTATGTGTAGCACTTTCTAGCCAGTAAAGTGTTTGGTTATTAGTATGTTTCAGAATACACATAGAAGGAAATAATTTCTTAAACGAGCTTTAAAAAAAAAAGCAACTGTGCGTTTAGTTTTATGCTGAAATCTACTTGACAACTTGGAAAATTATCAGATTTTATACCAAAGTATAATAGGCAATTCTTACCTTAAGCATTCAGCATCATTTTGAGGCTTTTCACTGATTTTTATTTTTTCTGCCTCTAGGTACTTGGTAGTGCAAACGGCTTCCTTTTTTTTATCTTCGAAACCTAAACAATTAAGAAAATTCTTACAATCTTTAAAAAATTAAACATAAAGGTTATCTTTATTCATTCATAAGAACAATACTCAATTTTGGTGCTTCACGTAAAATATATGTACTAGTGATTTTTATTTTTCTACTTTAATGTAGCAATTAAAGGCACACACAAAAAAGATCTTAACAAAATTTGTGACATTAAAAATACCAGATCTAACACTGATCAATGCAGTGCTTTACCTATTCCTTTTTTACGTCAATAGCAGCACTACATCCCAATAGGTGAATACATTTTGAAAGAATACTACTACCCTATAGTAGATATATAGCAATATTCATCAGCAAAATAAACTAACTCATAAAGGTAATACCTTTAAGCTCTCTCTGCAAAGTAAATAATTCTTGTATCAATTCACTCTTTTGTTTTTGAAGTTCATTTAACTGGCCACTATCACGTTCCACTGACTTCATTTCTAGAAACAAATAGACAAAAACCAAAACACATATTTTAACTATTTTAAGTTTTGCTTTATGTATGTCAGGAATGATTAAGTTTTTCTTGTGTAGTAAAAATTTAAGCAGTATATGGTCAATTTTAAGTCCCAACAGCTTCCCTTGGCCACATAGGAACTGTTTCTTCATAAACTGACCAGGATTATTTAAGCAACAACTGGATACAAAAGAACAAGTTAGTTGAAGGTTAGACTGCTGAATGAGAATTCAAAATAGTGTCATATTACTGAGTAAAACAAGCTTCCCAATGAAATTAGAAAACTCTACTCACTTTTTGGTTACCATGAACAATGCTGCTATGAACATTCATGTACAAGTTCTTACACAGACATATGGTTTCAATTATCTTGAAATACCAGGGAGTGGAATTGTGGGTCATAGGGTAACTCTAGGTGTAACATTTTGAGAAACTGTCAAACTGTTTTCCAAAGTAGTTGTATAATTGTACATTTCTACCAGCAATGTATGAGGTTTCCAATTTCTCCACAGCCTATCCAACACTCTTATCTACTCGTTTATTATAGCCAGGCTAGCGGCATCTCATTGTGGTTTTGATTTGCATTTTCCTAATTATTTTGAACGTCTTTCATGTGTGGCCATTTGTATGCCTTTTTTGGATAAATACCTTTTTAAATACTTTGTCCATTAAAAAAACTGGGTTATTTTTCTTTTTATTGTTTAGTTGTAAGAGTTCTTTATATATTCTGGATGCTAGTCCCTTATTAGATACATGATTTGCCAATATTTTCTACAATTCTGTGGGTTGTCTTTTCACTTTTTTGATAGTGTCCTTTAAACTCGAGTTTTAATTTTGATGAAGTCCAAGTTATCTATTCTTTTGTTGCTTGTGAATACCTAGAAAACCATTTCCTAATCCTAAGTTATGAAGATTTACAACTGTGTTTTATTCTAAGAGTTTTATATTTTTAGCTCTTACATTTAGGTCTGTGATCTGTTTTGATTTAGTTTTTGTGTACAGTATGAGGTAAATGTCCACATTCATTCTTTTCCATGGGGATATCCAGTTATCCTAGCACCTTTATTTAAAAAGACTATTCTTTTGCAAATGAATTGTCTTGGCATACGTGTAAAAATCAAGTGACCATAAATGTATGGGTTTATTTTTGGATTCTCAATTATATCCCCTTGATCTATATGCCCATACTCATACCAGCACCTCACTGTCTTGATTACAGCAGCTCTGTTCTAAGTTTGAAATCAGAAGTGTGAGTCTTCCAACTCTGTTCTTTTTCAAGTTTGTTTTGACTATTATTGGTCCTTTGCATTTCTATGAATTTTAGGGTCAGATTGCAAAAAGCCAGCTAGAATATTTGATAGGGGTTGTATTGAATCTGTAGATCACATTTAGGAGTATTGCCATCTTAACAATATTAGATCTTCCAATCCATCAACTTGGGATGACTTTCCATTTATTTAGGTCTTCTTTAATTTCCTTCAACAATGATTTTTGTAGTCTTGAACTTTTGTTAAATGTATTCCTAAGTATTTTACTCTTTTTGACTGTAAATTGAATGTTCTTTAATTTAACTTACAAATTGTTCATTGTTAGTATATAGAAATATAATTGATTTGTATATATTGATCTAATATCCTGCAACCTTGCTGAACTTGTTTATTAGCTCAAATAGTTTTCCGGTGGATTCCTTAGGATTTCTATACACAAGATCATGTTATCTTCAAATAGAGATAGTTTTACTTCTTCCTTTCCAGCCTAGATGTCTTTTATTTCTTTTTCTTGCCTGATTGCCCAGGCTAAAATCTCTAGCAAAATGTTGAACAGAAGTAGTAGGAGTGGATATTTGTATTTTCCCAATCTTAGGTGAGGAATTTTCATTCTTTCATCATTAATAGCATTCACCATGGGTTTTTCATAGATACACTTTATCAGGTTGAGAATGGTCCCTTCAATATCTACTGTATTGAATTTTATTTTTAAACCATGGAAGGGTGTTGAATATTGTCAAATGATTTTTCTGAATCTTTGATTATTTTTATATCTTTTATCTCTTCATTATATTCATGGTCTTGAGTATATTTATAAGAACAATTTTAAAAGTCTTTCTCTGCTAATTGCATTATCTCTATGATTTCTAGAGATGTTTCTATTGACCTTATTTCCTCCTTGCTATGAGTTACAATTGGCTTTTTCACATGTATAGTGATTTTTGATTGGATACTAGACATTGTGTTCACTATTTTCTTGAATGTTTGAATTTTGATCTCTTCCTTTAAAGCATGCTGATGCTTGTTATTTAGCAGGCAGTTAGGTAACATGATTAGGTCCAAAGCTTGCTTTTAAGATTTTTTTTAAAAGAGTGTGTCCAGAAGAGCCTTAAGTCTAAGGCTAATTTAATCTTGCTATTAAGGCAGGACTCTTCTGTTTAATGAGATCTTTCTATTCTGACAGGATGGAACATGAATGTCTCCCAGTCCTGTGTGAGCTCTTAGAATTGTCGGCCTTATGACTCCTCAGCAGTTTTTCTTCACTCAGCCTAGTGGTTTTCCTGTACGTATGCACAGAGTAATATATAGCCAAAGGCTCAAAGCAACCTCTATGAAGATTTCTGGAGGTTTTTGTCTGTGTAGTTCTTTCCTCTCAAGTACATTGTCCCGAAAATTTCAGCTAACTCAGCCTCCCTGAACTCCAATCTTTGTATCCTCAACTCAATCAGACCACTCTGCTTTGCTTAAGTTCCCCCTCTCAGTCCTGCTGTCAAAGAATTGCATCCAGGTTAAAAAGCTAGGGTAATCATACCTCATGTGTTTCCCTTCTCTCAGTAATCATAGTCTTGAACAGTCTCTTTTCCTCAATATGTAAAAATAGTTTTTAATATATTTTCTTCAGTTCTAGCTGTGTGTGTTGTGCTCCTTCCTGATTATAAGTGAAAGTTCTCCACATACTATTTAAATTATCCTTTTACTTGTCTGTCTCCCATAGTAGACCATAAGCTCCTTAAAAACAGGAGCTTTCATTTATCTTTAAACTCCAATTCTTGTACAGTGCTTGTCATATATATACAGAACACATAGCATGTGCTTAAGAGAGTGTGCTGAACTGAACTCAAATAAATCATATAATTGAATTAAAAACTTTTATTATCCATGTTTTTGTCAATTAATTTAAAATGAACAGTTCTTTGAAAAAAATTAATAAACTCACATTTATGCTTCTGCTCCTTTAATAAATGAATATTTAAAATATAAACATAACTACATGCTAATAATTAAGAGAAGTATTCCAGGATACCATTACAATCTTTAAAAAGTGAAACTATATTTTATTCATTATTAACTGATTTATCAGACATTCTATGATATGATTTATGATTTAAAATACCTTTGTAAAACTTGGGCAAGAGTGATAGAGAAATTTTGGACTTAAACATTCCTGAGGTAGAGAATGTATTATTTTTCTTAGTCCTAACTCTCTAGGCTAAATGGAAAAGGCATGGTTCCAAGATTGTTTCTTCCCTCCCAAAAAATAAGACAAGTGCATCAATTCCTATGACACTTACACAACAGAAAGAATAAACACAATGTTTGTGGTAATAACTTTTTTCCCACTTTTCTACTGCCTCATTTTTTTTTTTTTTTTTTTTTTTTTTTGCGGTACGCGGGCCTCTCACTGTTGTGGCCTCTCCCGTTGTGGAGCACAGGTTCCGGACGCGCAGGCTCAGCGGCCATGGCTCACGGGCCCAGCCACTCTGCGGCATGTGGGATCTTCCCGGACCGGGGCACGAACCCGTGTCCCCTGCATCAGCAGGCAGACTCTCAACCCCTGCGCCACCAGGGAAGCCCTCTACTGCCTCATTTTAATTTTGTTATTACTTTTATTTTATAGCTTTATTGAGGTATAACTGATGTGGTGATAACTTTTTACTTCCTTCCACTGCTTAAAATCCAAGAAGTTCTAATCAAGCTAGGTTTTATGGCTATGAATATTAAACCAAAGTAAGACAATGAAAATTCATTCCCATCGTTTGACATGTGAATTGTCTTTCTCATATAACTGCACATACATTGCCTATCTTTAAAGAATACTAGCAAGCAAGGTGTGTAATATGCTTCCTCTTATCCAACATCCAAGAAAAACTGATTCACGAACTGGAAGAAAGAAATAAGGGGGACATTTTGAGAAAAATGTTGTGACAATCATTATAGTCATTATTTTGAAGCCAAAAGTGATGGACCCTTTTATCTATGAATTATCAGATGTTCAAAATAAATAAACATTTATTAATTTCACAAATATATACTGAATACCAAATACCAATGCTTCTAGTTGCTCAGGCCAAAAAAACTTGGAGTCAACTGTTAATGCCTCTCTTTCTCTCACACCCCACATCTAATCCATCATGAAATCCTACTTGTCCATCTTCAAAATTTATCCAGAATCCAAACACCTCTCACCATTTCAATTGCTTACAGTCTTAAACTAAGCCATCATTATCTCTGGTCTGGATTACTGCCACTTTTCCCTAGGTTTCTGTTTCTGCTTTTACCTCCATTAAGTGTATTTTCAACTGAGGCCAAAGAAGTCCTATTAACATATGTGAGACCCTTCACTCCTGTGCTCAAAATTCTCCAATGACTTCTGATCTCACTTGAGTAAAAGCCAAAGTTTTTCAAATGGCCCACAGGTTTTAAATGATCTGAGTTCTTATTTTTAAATTAATTTTTATTGGAGTATAGTTGCTTTACAATGTTGTGTTAGTTTCTGCTGTACAGCAAAGTGAATCAGCTATACATATACATATATCCCCTCTTTTTTGGATTCCCTTCCCATTTAGGTCACCACAGTGCATTAAGCAGAGTTCCTTGCGCTATACAGTATGTTCTCATTGTCTATTTTATACACAGTATCAATAGTGTTTATGTGTCAATCCCAATCTCCCAATTCCTCCCACTCCCCCTTTCCCCCTTGGTATTCATACATTTG